TGTGCAGGGCAGGAGAGGTGGGGCGAGGGAGGTGAGTGCACGGTGTGATGGCAATGTTGCGAGGGCGTGCAAGGGGAGGATGAAGGATGCGGGCACACAGAGAGAGGAAGGGCGAGTGGTGGTTGTAGTGGGGAGATGAGTTACAAGGAAAACAATGGCAGAAGGATAGGGAAGACGGATGTATGGCCTAGACGAGGGGCATACAGAACAAGGAGAAGCGCAAACACAGAGAAGGAAGGGCTTGTGATTTGAGGGGGTGAGGGATGGGAGAGGGAGGAGGCGGGGGAGGGGGAGAAAGGAAGCACGGGGAGGGAGGTGGGGAGCAGGAGCAGGGTGGGGGGAGGGGAGGGGCTTACAAGGGCGACAATGGTGACGGATGGCTGTGCCTGCTGTGCCTCCAGCTCCCTGATCCTGCGACTGGCTGCCCACCCGTCCATCTCCGGCATCTGCTCATTGCACATGTGCACATGTTTGGGACACACAAGCTTCAATACATGGGCTACTCAAAGCAAGTGCCTCACATGGGCGAGTGCCTCACATGGGCGAGTGGCTCACATGGGCGAGTGCCTCACATGGGCGAGTGCCTCACATGGGCGAGTGCCTCACATGGGCGAGTGCCTCGCATGGGCGAGTGCCTCGCATGGGCGAGTGCCTCGCATGGGCGAGTGCCTCGCATGGGCGAGTGCCTCGCATGGGCGAGTGCCTCGCATGGGCGAGTGCCTCGCATGGGCGAGTGCCTCACATGGGCGAGTGGCTCACATGGGCGAGTGCCTCACATGGGCGAGTGCCTCACAATGAAGAATCACAACACCAGAGTACCAGTCGTGCCAACCAATGTGCAAATCGCATGTGTGTGAATGATAGATGCTGACCTGCAGTCCGTGGTGATGAGGTTGCGGACCTGGCATTTTATGAGATGAGGCAGTCCATGCAGATAAGGTGCTGACCTGGCAGTCCATGAGGATAAGGTGCTGACCTGGCAGTCCATGAGGATGAGGTTGTATTTGTTCTTCTGGAAGAGGCTGACAGCCTCCACGCCATTGTTGGCAATGTCTATGGTCACGCCCAGCTGTGCCAGCATCGACTTTGCCACCTTCTGGTTTATCTGCGAGCGATAGGCACGCAGTGGGGACAGGGGAAGGAGCGAGAGCGAGAGAGGAGGAGACTTGTGAGTTGACTCAATGCTCACGCCCAGCTGTGCAAGCATCGACTTTGCCACCTTCTGGTTTATCTGTGAGTGCCAGCGGCGCACGGGGGAAGAAGAGGGAGAGGAGGAGGAGGATGAGAGGTGATGAGAGCATGTCGGTGGCAAGGCTTGCACTCACTCGGTGAGAGGCGCTTGGGGCTAGGGAGCCATGGCAGCAAAGCGGTGAGGCGGTTCGGACTCTTGTGTGCGGGACTGCACTCTAGTCTAGAGTGCCCCTGTACTCACTCACTAACAGCACCCTGTCTGTCACCCTGTCACCCTGCCATCCTGCCTCTCCAATAGCCACTCCCCATACCGCCCTCCAACCCACCAGGTTATCTTCTGCCAGCAGGATGCGTCCCACTCAGCTTGGGCCCCATGCAAGGTTCAAAATTACGGTTTTCGTAAAATACGGTCCGTTTTATACGGTCGTTTTTTACGGTGATTTTTCAAAAAACGGTCGTTTTTTTGTTAGAGAACTCTGTTCACCAAGAAAAAAAGAGAAAAACAAGGCCAAAAACAATTTTCAATCATGCCAACAAGCGCATACATGCCAAGAAGGGGTTCCGTCCCCTTCATTGCTGCTGCATTTCGGGTTCAATTTGTCCCACTAAGTGGCCGTTTTGTTAGTTAAACAGGAAACACCTCCTGGAACCGTTTTAACCGTTTTTTTACGACCGTATTTTACGATACCGTTTTTTTACGGTAAATTTTCAAAAAAACGGTCGTTTTTTTTTAACCTTGGGCCCCATGCTCCTAGCTGCAGGGCGCGGCTGCCGCCTGCCAGGAGTGCAGACCTTGCCCTTGTACTCACTCAACAGCACAGCCCTGCCACCCTGTCTACTCTGCCTTCCACCCTCTCGCCAACCTGTCACCATACCGCCCTGCCACCCACCAGGTTGTCTTCTGCTAGCAGGATGCGTCCCACTCAGTTTCGGTCCATGCTCCTCGCAGCGGGCCGCGGCTGCTGCCTGCTGGGAGTGCAGAACGTTTTCCCATACTTCCTCACTAACTGCGCCCTGCACTCACTCAACTCACAACACCCTGCCACCCTAAATGCCACTCCCATACCGCCCTGCCACCCACCAGGTTATCTTCTGCGAGCAGGATGCGGCCACTCAGCTTCGGCCCCATGCTCCTCGTAGTGGGTCGTGGTTGCGACCTGTAAGGAGTGCAGAGAGATGCCCTCACACTCACATCATACCCCCTGCGTGCCACCCACCAGGTTGTCTTCAGCCAGCAGGATGCGGGCCACTTCAGCTTCGGCCCCATGCTCCTCCGCAGCGGGGCCGCGGCTGCTGCCTGCGCCGCCCCGACGACAGGAACAGGCCCTCGCCGCCGGGGGGTGCTCTGCATGGCCGATTCCATCGCCTCCAGCAGTGCCTTGGGGCGCACCTGGTGGCACAGGTGCGGAGGGGAGGTGTGACGTGTCAAGGAGGGGAAACGGGAGGAGCGGGAAGTGAGTCTGGAGTCGTGAACAAGGGATGCAACCTAAGGGCGGAGAAAAGGAAACGCATTGCTGCTATGAGTGAGCTACATGCCATGCCGCATGGCGCCCTGCAGTTCTGAAAAACACCATTGATCACCCAATTCTCTACTGCATTAGCCCATGTGCTACCCTGCATGCATACCATGGGCTTATTGAGCATGGCGGGGCAGCGGTCGCGCCAGTAGCGGCACGGCCTTGAGCTCGCCCTCTGTCCTCTCCGTCACCTGCGACCGCTTCAGCAGCACCACCACCCCCACGCGCTCCCTCCCCAACAGCTCCAACACCGCCTGTGGGGGGGGAAGAGGGGCAAAGGAGGGAGCCAAAGAAGCATGAGCCTGAGTGGACAACCATGTGCACGCACATCCCTGGGCGATAGACGGAGTGATGGATTACTGGACAGCAGTATTTACGAAGAATGGAAAAACATGACACAGCTGATGCCAAACATGAACAGCAGCCCATTACAGCCACTCACAGACGACATGGGGTCGATGAGCTGCGGCTTGTTAGAGCAGTCAATCACAATCAAAATCATAGTCCTCCGCCAGCCCCTTGCGCGCCGACCCGTCGCGCCACGTGGCGGGCGCCGGTTGGCCGGCTGGCAGGGGCGGGCGCGGGCGGCAGAGAGCCGGCAGGGAGCCTCTTGAGGAAGGCCTCTTCTGGCGTGCAGGTGAGGCACGCGTGCGGCACCTTCCATGCCTCCAGCTGCTTCTGCATTGCACACACTGTCACCTGGGAGAGGAGGGGACATTGGGGGGGAAGAGGGACTGTGAGGCAGGGCAGTGGAATGCAAAGGCGGTGGAACGAAGAGGAGTAGCAAGCACAGGGGAAGGTGCGACGGCAAGGCAGCCAATGTTGACTCACCTCGAGTGGGCTGACGAGCAGCACACGAATGGACTGGAACTCCGGAGGCACCGCCAACGGCACTGGCAGCGGGCCCGACGACGACTTTTGAGGCGCCTCGAAAGTCGCAACAACAGAGCACCCCGGGTTTACTCACCTCCAGCGGGCTGACGAGCAGCACACGGATGACTGGAACTCTGGCGGCACCACCAGCGGCACGGATGGGCAGCAGCTTGCGGGGAATGCAAATGGCCTTTGAGGCGCCTCAAGCACAGGCCCACCTTGCACTCACCTCGAGCGGGCTCACGAGCAGCACGACGGATGGATTGGAACTCAGGCGGCACAACCAGCGGCACGGGCAGCGGACCCGACGACGCATAGGAAGATGTGCCGGCCGCAGCAGGCGACTCGGGGGAGAGCACAGAAGCCGAGTGGCCGGAGGTGGGCGGAGGGCGTGGGAGGGCGTGGGGAGCGGCGGGTTGAGAGCGGCGACGGCGGCGTAGGCGGGGTGGTGGGTGTTGACGGGCAGGCGCACGGTGAAGGTGGGAGCCGCGGCGGAACTCGCTGTGCACTGATATGCGGCCGCCCATCAGCTCCACCAGCTGCTTTGAGATTGCCAGCCCGAGCCCTGTTCCTCCGAACCTTCTCGTTGTTGAGGCGTCCACCTGAGGGAGTGGAGGAGGTGGTTGGGTGAGGCACAGATGGCAGGGAATATAAGAGTCGACTCGCTGTGCACTGAGATGCAGGCCCCCATCAGCTCCACCAGCTGCTTCGAGATTGCGAGGCCGAGTCATGTTTATTTAACCTCCTTGTTGTGGACGCGTCAACCTGGGCAAGGGGGTGTGGCACGGCGTGGGACACGGGGCACAAGGCCCACGGCAGGTCACAGATGGCAGAGCAGGAACAGCATGCATTGTGAGGCAGAATGGCAAGAAGGCCAGGGCCGAGAGTTTGGCTGAGAGAGGGGCTGAAACTTTGCCAGATGAGGTGAGTGAGACCCACCTGGGAGAACTTGGTGAAGAGGCGGCCGATGCGCTCCTTGGGAATGCCAATCCCCGTGTCGCTGACGTGGCACACCCAGTACAGCACGCCCGCCTCCTGTGCCGCTGCCCGCCTCCTGCGCCCGTGCCCGTGCGGCCCTCGCCTCCTGCTGCGCGGCCAGCATGGCGGCTCCTATGCTCCCCGATGCCCCATGTGCAGGACTGTTAGTGCCACTGGCATCAGGAGAGTCCCTGAAAGGCGACCCAGCCGCACCACGAGCTGCAGCGGAACCAGAAGCAGCAGCAGCGGCAGCGGAAGAGGTGGAGGTGGAGGAGGGGAGTTGCAGCAGGCACGGCGCGCCAATCTCCGCCTCCAACCGGAACTTCACATACCCCTTCTCCGTAAACTAATAGCGTTCGACACGAGATTAATCAGCACCTGCAGCGTGCGCCCGGCGTCCCCCACCAGGAACACGGGCGTCTCCGGCTCGATCTCGATCACGATGTCGAGCCCCTTGGACTCGGCGTTGTGGATGAGCAGCTCCGCCACGCGCTCTACTACTACCGCCTGCACGACGTTGAAGAGCGTCTGCTCCATGTCCAGCTTGCCGGACTCGATCTTGGAGTAGTCGAGGATGTCGTTGATGATCTGCAGCAGCATGTCGCCCGAGTCTCTGATGGTGAGCACGCGGTCCCGTTGCTCGGGGGTCAAGTGGGGTGTCGAGCAGGAGGGCCGTCATTCCCTACGACGCCGTTCATGGGGGTGCGGATCTCATGGCTCATTGTGGCCAGGAAATCTGCAGGTGAGAGGGATGGAGGGCGGGGTGTGTTTGATTCGACACAGAGTGCACCTCGCACACATTGGTGGCGTGTGAGTATAAGGCCTGCAACCCCGTTCATGGGCGCATGTGTGGGTCTCGTGGCAAAGGGAGGAAGTGGGGGAGATGAGGGTAAAGGTCGAAGGGCAACACTCCGGGGGGCATCACGAACCTGCTTTGGCGCGCGACACCCTCTCAGCCTCGTCCTTAGCGTCCATCATCGCCTGCTCCGCCACCTTGCGGTCAGTGATGTCAGTGTGCGTGCCCCACGAAACGCAGCGGTTCGCCATCGTCCGTCTTGGAGAGCAGCTTGCCGCGGTGCAGGAACCAGCGCCACGACCCGTCCTTGCACCGCAGGCGCTGCTCGTTCACAAACTGCGCCGTCACGCCGTCCAGGTGCTCCTTGAGGTCTGCATACGCGCGGTCCTTGTCCTCCGGGTGGAGCAGCCGCTCCCAGTCGTCTAGCGTTGACCCAATGTCGCCAGGCTCGTAGCTGGGGGGACGTTGTGGAAGGGAGTTGGAAAAGGGTTGGAGAGAGGGTGTGTGGGGGATGAGTCTGAGTCCAGGTGCTCCTTGAGGTCTGCGTACGCGCGGTCCTTGTCCTCTGGGTGCAAAAGGCTTTCCCAGTCGTCCAGGGAAAGAGGGTAGCGGGGGAAGGGAAGAGAGTTGGAGAGAGGGGTGGGGAAGGGGGGGTGTGTGGGGGATGAGCTTAAGTCAAGGTGCTCCTTGATATCCAGATGCCGCCCAGCATCCCACCATGTGCCGCCCGACACTCATCCCATGCACTCTCCACTCCACTCACCCCAGCATCTGCTTCCAGCGGTCCGGAGACGAACATGGTGTTGTCTCGCACGTTCCACAATCTAACCCATGCCCATCCACGCGCCCATGCATGCACCTGTACATGTGCTTATGCACCCTCCACGGCACTCACCCCAGCATCTGCTTCCAGCGATCGGAGAAGAACATGGTGTTGTCTCGCACGTTCCAGTCCCACACTGTTGCTGCACCACCACCATGCTCTAGCCCATGCCCATGCATGTGCCCAAATGTGCTCATACATGCACCCATATATGCGCCTATTCAAGGGCACAAACCACTCACCCGAGCATCTGCTTCCAGCGATCAGAGAAGAACATGGTGTTGTCGCGCACGTTCCAGTCCCACACTCCGTCATCACTGCCCGACAGCGCATACAGCCACCGCTCCTCGCTCTCCTGCTCACATGCACCGCGTGGGCAACAGTGGGGCATGTGGGAATGGTGAGTGACACACAGAGAAGCGGTGCGGGGATGAGGATCTAGGAGGTCCAGTCCAGTCCCACGCGTCACTGCCTGATACTGTGTTCTCTAACGGTCCCCTTTCTCACCTTGAGCTTCTTCTCGGCCTCAAGCCTCCCGGAGATGTCATGTTGTCGCGCAGCACGGCGACATAGGAGACCGTGGCATAGGTGCCCTTGGAGAGGGAGATACTCATACTGTGCCCTCTAACAACCCATTCTTCCTACCTTTCCTTCGTCCCACCCACACACCCGGTACCAGACAGCACCACATAGCGAGCTCTCTGCTGCACTCTTGCTCTCACCTTGAGCTTCTTCTCACCTTGAGCTTCTTCTCCGCCTCGAGCCGTTCTGAGATGTCTCTGAGCACGGCGACATAGAAGACGGTGTCGTAGTTGCCCTTGGACAGGGATACTGTGTGCTCTCTGACAACCCCTTCTCCCTGCCTCAACCTTGCTCTCACCTTGAGCTTCTTCTCCGCCTCGAGCCGTTCTGAGATGTCTCTGAGCACGGCGACATAGAAGACGGTGTCGTAGTTGCCCTTGGAGAGGGAGATCTCGAGGGGGAACGTGCTGCCGTCCGTGCGGAACCCCGTGCCCTTGTGCACCTGCCCTGACGCGTGGTCCAGCCCTGGTGCAGGGAGGATGGGATGGGAGAGAGGGACGGTGAGAAAGTGAGGAGCAACGGGTCAAAGGGCATGACAAGGTCCCAAGCAACGCCACGCCGCTCACCCCTGCAATCACCAAGACATTCCCCCCCCACCCCAACAGTAAGCCCCACTCTTCCCCACAATGAGTGAATCCCAGCAGCAACCTCCCACTCCACCCCACCCCAGCACAACAAAGACACACCTCCAGCAGTGAGCATGTCCCGGTGACCGTCTATCTCCACGAGCAGGTCCTTGAGCTGCAGGTTGGCGGGCGCCGCCACGCCACGCCCTTCCCCACCATGAGTGAACTTAGCAGCACACACCGCCCTCAAGTGTGAGCCTAGTCCCACCCACCAACACATACCCCCAGCCGTGAGCATGTCGCGGTGGCCATCAATCTCCACGAGCAGGTCCTTGAGCTGCAGGTTGGCGGGCGCCGCCACGCCCTCGCGCATGCTGCCCGGCAGGGGCGCGTCCCCCGGCTGTGCAAAGCCAAACATCTGGCGCGCTGACAGGTTCATGGAGGTCACATGCCCGCTGTGCGCCAGGGACATTATGCCCTCCTTCGCAACCTGTGGGGGGAAAGGGGGAGGGTTTGCGCAGTGCGGCAAGAGAGAGAATGAGAGAGGGGGGGGGGGGGGGGGGGGATGGGGAGAGAGGGGGGGAAGGGGGGGGGGGGGGGGGATGGGGAGGGAGGGAGCGAGAGCAGCGAGTTAGCAAGAGAGAGAGAATGAAGACAGCGCAGAACAGGAGCACTGTGCAGTGCAGGCACAGAGAGGGGCAGGCAGTGGAGGGTGAGAGAGAGCTGACTCCAAGACAGAGCTATGCAATGCAGACAAAACAGCGCTCAGTCAGCACATGTGCCACTCCCTGCCAGTCTCACCTGCACCACACTGGAGAGATGCAGCTCCGCCTCCTTCCTCCTCTTCCGCTCATTCACAGCATAGATCATCTGGGCAATGGTCATGGTGAGCGGCTCAATCTCCCTTTCTCCTCTCCCTATCCCTCACTGTCTCCTATGACTCACCTGCACCACACTCGACAAATGCAGCTCCGCCTCCTTCCTCCGCTTGCGCTCATTCACAGCATAGATCATCTGGGCAATGGTCATGGTGAGCGGCTCGATCTCCTTCACCAGCTGCTCATCGTACCCCGCCGCCCGGTTGGCCACGGCAAAAAAACACATTGCACGGCCAGCACATGTGCTACTGCCTGTCTCACCTGCACAACACTCGACAAGTGCAGCTCCGCCTCCTTGCGCCTCTTCCGCTCATTCACAGCATAGATCATCTGGGCAATGGTCATGGTGAGCGGCTCAATCTCCTTCACCAGCTGCTCATCGTACCCCGCCGCCCGGTTGGCCACGGCAAAGACGCCGATGAGCTCGGTGCCGGTGTAGAGGGGGATGCCCATGAACTTGTCGATCGGGGGGTGGCCTGGAGGGACTCCTCTCGACCTGGGGTCGTTGCGAGCATCGTTAGTGAGCACCTGGGGGCAGGGCAGGGCAGGGCAGGGCAGGGCAGGGCACAGAATGGGCGGTTTGGAGAGAAAGTAGCCTGCCTTGTGAGCACCACAACTCACCAAAAGCCCAAAGAAGAAAGAAAGAAAAGAGCATGCGTGCCACCTGCTGTCCCCCTATCATGCACCTGTTAGCACCACGGTAACGACGAGCCCCTTGTGGCTGTTCGCCCTTGGCTCCTTGGCTGCTCATATGGTGAACAGCTGCTGCCTTGTCAGCACCACGTGCACCTGCTGCCCTTTTTCACCCACCTGTTGCCCTGTGAGCACCACGGTGCCGTGGAGGGTGTTGAGGTTGGTGAAGACGAGCCCCTTGTGGCTGTTGGCCGCGTACCACGCCCTCAGCTCCTTGCTCCACGCCACGTTCGTCATTGCATGGGTCTGTAGGGGGGTTCGGAAGAGACATTGTGAGTGAACACAGGAACAGAAGAGACGGCAGCATGGACAGCCTGGTGACAGCCTGGTGACAGCCTGGTGACAGCCTGGTGACAGCCTGGTGACAGCCATGACTCGCACCTTGAGGTTGGGTGAGCCGTCGGCCTTGAGCAGAGCGGAGGAGATGAACCCAAACATGGACTCGGTAACCTCCAGCAGTGCGGACAGCATGCAGGCGAGGCACGCACACCCCACACCAGCCCAGCACACACACACCACCCAGCCAGACCTTGAGGCACGGCATGCCAGCACACACACCTTGAGGTAGGGCGTGCCATCGGCCTTGAGCAGCGCGGACGAGATGAACCCGAACATGGACTCGGTCACCTCCAGCAGTGCGGACAGCAGGTAGTCAAACACCAGGCTGCCGTTCGGCTCCTTGTCGATGAAATACACCTGGTGCGCGCGCGTGATGGCCGCCAGCAGCTTCCTCTGCAGCACCTCCGTGTTGCTCATCGTCCGCGCCAGCCCGCCCCCGCCTCTTCCCCCCCCTCCCCCTCCCCCTCCGCCCACCCCCCCCATTTCCAGCCGCGCCCGCACCTCCTGCAGGGCGCTTTCGTCGAAGTTTCTGTTCCCCTGCCCCTTGTAGTCCCCGCCTGGGGCGAGCCTACCGCTGTTCTCCCCACTGCCCTCCCCGTCCCCGCTGCTGCCTCGCAGGTGCGGGCACGCGTCCGGGCCTAGCCCGGCGGTGAAGGTGCTGGTGGTGGTGGTGGAGGCAAGAGGGGAGGCGTCAAAGGAGTGGCGCTTGGAGGAGGGGTTCAGGGGGGACCCGCCCCCATGACTGCGCGCATCCACCGCCCCCCTCTGCACATCCCCTCCGCCCCCGCCCCCCACCCCCTGCTGCCGCTGCCAGGAAGGTGCGGAGAACCTTCCACTGCCGTCAGAGTGGAGAGGGGAGGAGGCGGGTTGGCCGGCGCTGCTGGGGGGGCTGATACCGCAGCGCTGCAGCAGGGCCATGGCTACAGGGTGGTCGGTGAAATCGTCCCTGGGGCTGCCACAGCGGCGGCAGCGCCACGTGGACTCCACCCACCCCTTGAACGCCGCCCACTCCTCCTCCTTCATCCCCCCCAGCACCTCCCACGGCCGTACCGCCGAGCCTGCCTCGCTGGCTTGGCGCCAGGGTTCCGAAGCTGCGCCCGAGGCTGTGCCGTGCGGCGTGGGGACGCCCTGCGAGGGGTAGTAGTCGCGGGAGGCGGGGTACGCGCCTCGCCCCATGCCGTCGTCCTGCTGCGCCTTCGCCTGCGCTCCCCCCGCGCCCGCGGCAGGCACCCGCGCGTCCCTGGGCGGCGTTGCTCCCCCGACTGCCCCAATCATCGCCCCCCCAACCAATGCGCTCACGTTAACCCCCCCCATTGGGCTCGTTCCCCCCGGGCCCGCTCCGCCCATGCCCTCCTGCGCTCTGCCCCGCTCCCCGCTTCTCCGCCCTGTGGCGGACGCGGCGAAGCCTCCGCCCGTCCAATGGGGAGCCTGCATGAGCGGCTGAGAGAACGGCGCCTGCTGCTGCGGAGGCGGCGACGGCTGCGCTTGCGGTCGCTGCGCAAACTGCTGCTGCTGCCGCTGTTGCTGCTCCTCGCGCGCTCCCCCCTGCACCTCCCCCTGCTGCACCCCCGCGCCCATCGGCTTCGGGGAAAGTTGCGCGGGCGACGCCAGCGACTGCTGCAACGCCTGCGGCGATCGTTGCGCCGCTTCCAGCGGCTCCCGCTCCCGCCGCCCGTCCCACGACGCGGGCTCTGCTCCTGCTCCCGGATGTGCCTCCGCCGCTTGCGCTCCCCCCGGAGAGGACGACTCCGCCTCTCCGCCTTTTTGCCGCCGCGCCTTGCTGAGATTGCGCTGGGAGTTGGATTGAGTCAGCGAGTCGCCTTTTTTGCCGAATAGGTTGTTCCAACCCATGATGCCCAGGAGTGAAGGTGGTTACAGAGTCGGTTCGGAGAGATGCTGTGGGGGGTGTGGTGTGTGACGGCCGGTATACGATGGCTGCTGAGACGACACGAGACGGAGACGAGAAGGCGAGTCGGAAAACAAAATGGCAAGTGCAGTTGCGTTAGGTGTGAGTTAAGGTAGCCATTCTATCAAAAGACCAGTTTTACTGTAAGGATATACGCGAGAATAAACACTTATGTTTGTTTTGCCGAAGCGTTAACCTACATCATGCGCTAAGCCGCAGGGTGTTTTGGCAGAATGCGACACGAGGACGGAAAGCCCTGAGCAATGCAGCATGGAGCGTCGTGGAATTAAGTAAACGACGTTCAGACGATTCGAAGACCGAGTTTCGACACTCCAATATTAGAAACATTTAACCTAAGCGGCGCGCTAGGCCAATAAATGGAACAACCTAGCCCAAGCACCCGCCGCGTACGGAGCAAATGAATCGACCAGCATCCACTGCCAAATGATTGGCTTGTGGTGGCGGACAGGACGACAGCTCTCACGCGCGACAATACCTCAGCAGGCGCAGCCGCCGAGTGGGTAAAGGAGCAGTTGGTTGGTAGCCTTGGCTTCAGGTGCCTCTGTTCTGTTGCCTTGGCTGTTTGGTGGGTCGAGTCGACGAAAGATTTGCGAAAACGGATGTAACGCGACAGTGCCCGCGAAAGGAGAAAGTGGGGTTGTGTCAGGCGTGCGCTGTGGCGGTCACGTGGGCGGCATAGTTTGGTTTGGACTCCATACCAGACTGCCACGACAGTCTGACAAATATCTACCCAACATCTAGGTTTTCCAATCAGAGGTACAGTGCGGTACGGAGGTTTCTACCAGCTCTAGAACTAAAACCAGATACGGTACTAAACCAGCCTATTTCGTGCTTACTCTTCTGAAAGGCTCAAGCTGAACCAGACAACTACGGTTTAAAATGCATATTTATCAATACTGTTTCAAGCACAGCCATGCAGCTTGACTGACGCCACTCATCCAACCTCCAATAACCACATCATTGCTCACTGCCCCCTTTTCTTGCAGTCATCAAGATCCGGTGCAGCTCCTTGGCCTCTGCAAGAGCCCCTTTCTTGCAAGCCAGCTTCGCAATCGGAAACAGCGCCCCATCTTTCAGCAGCACCGCAGGCGCCACAACCCCTGTGGTAACCAGATGGTGCAGCGTCCACAGCGCCTCCTCCCGCGCCCTCTCAGACTCACTCTCCAGCGCCCTCCTCGCAAGATTGGCCAGCACAGCCATGGCTTTCTCCTCAACCCCTGGCCTCTTATCCCCCAGAAGATCCACTAGAATGCTCACAGCGCCTTCCCTCACGATCTCATTCGCACACGACAGGTCCTGCGAGAGGGAGAAGAGGGCAAGCCCTGCGTCTTTTCTGCACCTTGCGGTCTCATTCGTGAGCAAGCGGACAAGCGAGGGGATGGCTCCTGCAGCTTGGATCTTAGTCTTGTGAATGTTCCTACTCGGGCCAGCACCGTTCCCATTCCTGCTGGCATTCGCAGATTCGTCCATCACGTCGTCCCACGAGGAAAGCGCAAACAGCGCCGCGGCTGCATTCCCCTTCACCATGCTCGAAATGCCTGACGTCCCCCCTGCTGACGCTCCTGCTCCTGCCCCCGCTCCTGCCGTGCCGGCTGGCCCGGTGTGAGAGAGCACATCCACAAGGGACGGCACGCCACCCACATCGATGAACTCGGCTGCGCCATCGCGTGACTGGCACAGCTGCAGCACCACGGCCACTGCACAGTCCACCAACAGCGCAGGATCCATCACTCCCCGCCCCCGCCCCTCCCGCCCTGCCGCCCTCCCTCCCCCTCCGCCCAGAGCAGCAACGGCCTCATCGAGAAAGTCGAGAAGGATGGGCACCCCGTCTTCTCGCTCCAGCAGCCGCTGCCTGTTCTCACAGCTCTCCTTCACTGCTGCTCTCAGCTGCACCACCGCTTCCACCCGCTGCTCTGCTGTCCCTCGATCCATCGCCTCAACCATCCCATCAACGGTTGTCATTGCACGAGGCGGAGGTACCTGCGATCCCTGCTGCTGCCCTGCATGTCCGTGCTCTTGCTGCATCACCTGCTGAACCTGAGGGGACAGGGGGGGGAGGGCGGCGCCTGTGCTACTGCCCCCACTGCTTCCTCTAGAGAGCCTGTGCCTAGGTGAGCTCGCAGTTATCGACGATCCCCTAGGAATTCCAGCTCCTGCCAGCATTTCAGCTGCTCCCGCCGCCCCTGCCGCCGCCCCGCCACTGCCCCCCCTGCCATGGCCCCCGCTTGCCTGCTCCTGCGGCGACCACAGTCCACCGCCCGCCCCTTCCCGCGCGGAAACCCTAACTCCTCCCGCCCCTGACGTCCCCCCGCCTGCGCGCGGTGGCAGCTGCGGGGAGGCCACGGCTTCAGGATTGACAAGCGGACCCGTGAGCTGCCCTGAGGCTTGTAACGGGGACAGTCTGCGCTGTCTGCGTGCTGCTAACGAGCCAGCCCCGCTGGAGGACGGGCGCGGCTCTCTGCCCGGATGCGGGCCTGCTCCCGCCACCGGGAACGCTGCTCGGTCGTACACCACCGCTCCAGCCAAGACAGACGGGTCTAGCCGGCCGGCAGCCAGAGGGTCATTGCTGCCGTCCCAGCTCATAGTGCGCCGGCGGTCAGGCCGCAAATGGGGCGCCGCAACGGGCCCTTTCTTCCGCTCCAGCGAATGCGCTCCCCCTACCGGCGCAGTTCCCGCTCGTGACATGCATGGGGCTCCTGAGTCCATACCTGCTGTTCGTACGCCTGCTGCACTTAAACCCAACCCTGCAGCCCTTCCCCCCGAGGAAGCAAATCCATCCGATACCAAAGCAGCCCCCCCGCCGGGACGGGATGCGCCTGAACCCTCGTGTGCGCCGTCCCTCGAGCCGGCGACGGTCATTCTCGACGGCGGCTGGTGTTCGTGACTGCGCCGCCGCTGCGCGTCTGTTTCTCGACCGCCAGGAGCCTCGCGCTCCCGCGCGGACAGTGTCGAAAGGACATGCCTCCGGCTGCGCACGGCCATCTCGCTTCCGCTGCTCCCCGCGCCATCATCGCTGTTCCGCGGCCCCTCGCGCGCACCAGAGGAGCGGAGCGCACTGGCGGAATTGAGGCTCCCGAAGAACGCGGAATCTGCTGCGGAGCGAGTTCTGCGATGGCCTTTCGCGTGACCTGATTGGTCGGCTTGCTCCTGCGGTAGTGATAACATATGTCGGACGTCTTGATTGGTTGCCGCCTGCCGACTGACGGCCCGTTTCTGGCCGGCCGATAACTTAACGTTGTGCTTGGCGCACCACTCCATAATCAACGCCTTGAGAGCGACATTTGGAAAGTACTCGGTGTGGCGGACTTTTTCTCCTGACCGCGGGCAGGTCATGTGACCGGCGTCGAACCAGGCTTGAATGTACTCGCGCTCGTACGTCAATCCCGAGGCAATAATAACGGGCTCCGCCATAACACGATCCGATAAAGGGCAGATGAACTCGAGAGGGACCTCCAAGTCGGCATCTTCTCCTCGCGACATCGCGATGGGATTAACCTGAACCGGTCTGTCAAAGAGAGATAGCGAGTGAGGTCTCAACGACAGCGACAGTCTCTAGTAAACCATCCATATATGAGATTACAGGTTATAAAATTTCCAGCATTGGACGACAGAACTACTTCATTGACTAAACGGAGTCTGATGCGCTGAGAGTGGGCTGGGAGGAGGCGAAGTGTGGAGAGGAGACTAGGGCGAAGGTGGGCCGTTGAGGAAGGGCGGCGGTGAATGCCGTGTCAAGGTAATCCCGAGGCGAGTTCACTTGTGTCGTGACAAAGCAGGACACAGGGCTCAAAGTTGGCGACATGAAGTGTTCAGCTAACCGCGCCCTGGACAGATGCCAGGATCTTCCCGATTTTTTTATCTCCCGAAATCAGGAAGGATTGGGGCGATTGGGAAACATGCCGAGAGAGCACAAGAAAACGAATTTTGCCGAGTGTTTCGCCCATGCTTGGCGATATTTAGCTGGCATGGCAACCAGAGGTTCGCGTGACGACGAGCCTAAGGGTTGGGTCAGGCTGTAGGTCAGCCACGGCCCTCATAAATTCGCGGGAGGTCCGACAAGCCTGGGGATTCGGGCAACCTGCAAGCCCGCGTTTTCATTCATCGAGGGGTTGGGGGGGAGGGGAGGGATCCCTCCCCCCTTCCCCCTGCAGCAGATGGCGGTGCAATCCGCCAGGCTGTTCTGCTCAGTGCCAGCCTCGTTAAAGGGAAACACTAATTACATTTGTGTACTGAACACCAAATATACTCCCGCTACATACACAACTGGCTGCCCGCCATCCACTAGTCATTTCCGCATCATCGTTCTAGAACAGAGGGTGGATGTGTTGGTGGAAGAATCTTACCAAGGATCATGTATGTGCAGTGCAGGACACCAGCATTCACGAACATGCACGCGCACTAGCAATGTGTTTCGACGATGTCTCGTTGCTTCCGACCTGACCTGGTCTCCTCAAGTAGCCTAGCAGCTCTTCCCAAGGCAGCTCGTATCGAAGCAGCGTCTTATCCTTGAGTAAATTCGTTAAGTTATACCATCCGTAAAAAACGCCACGTCAGCAGTTATGTACAAGCCACGTGTCAAAGCGCACAAGTCCAAACATCTCCATCACTCCGACGGCGCGAGGGGATGGCCCCCGGAAGAGGCCGAGATGTCCGCCGCCACCCACTCCAGCGGAGAATGGAGCGGAACTGCGGAGGCCGTCGGCGCTGGAGAAGCTGTAGGCGGAATGGCGGCGGGCGGAATGGGCGCGGGCGGAATGCCGGTGAGCAGCCCGGACATTCTGGGGAAAGGGTGCTTCAGCTGGCGCGGCGTGTTTCACAAGGACCACGGCGCGCGCGTGCTTAAATTAGAAGGCGGCGGTGTAGCGGAGGTGCTTGTAGTGGATCCTGGGCGTAGAGACGACGAGGTGAGAACGCATCATGGGTATGCTATGGCGGGTTTCAGTGGAGCGGGAGAGCATGCGGGGATGGCGGGCGCGCACGGACAGGGGGAGGACGTGGGGGCATACGAGCGTGGCAGTGATAGGGTTGGGGGGAGAGGTGAGTTAATGGCAGGGGCGGGGAGGGAGCAGGAGAGGGCGTTAGGGGTGGAGGAGCGAGGTTGTGTCGGTATCGTGTCTTCTGCTGCGGCTGTCGTGGCGACTGATGAAACGCATGACCTCTCAGTGCGTACGGACGACACGGTTTCATCCGACGTAGCGACGGTCGGCAGCGTTTCATCTGCACGCCTGAACGCTGACGGCGTTTCATCCAGGCGTGCGGCCGCAGCGGACGGAGCAGGCGCGTGGGACCCAGCTTTAGGTTCAATGCGAGGCGATCCCACAAGTGCATCACATGGGATCAATGCGAATGAGGGAGGTGTGGGCGAGGGGGGCAGGGGCGAAGCAGCGCGTGGGAGTGTGGAGAGTGACTCGCTAGCCAATGGGGATGTAGCGGCAGGGAGCACTGGTGTTGTCACTGGCATCAGTGGGTATTCTGCTCTCGCCACCACTGCGCGCACTCAGGTGCTCCCTGTCCCTGTGGATCCCTCCCTCACTTGCCCTCCCTACCCTCCCTCACTGCCTACTCACCCTGACGCAACCGCCTCTTCCCCTTCCGCCCTCACCTCCCCTCCCCTCCCCTCTTCGCCACCCCTCTCCGCTGCTCCTCCCACGGACGCCACCCCCTTGGGCCCTCTCCCCACCATCACTCCCTCCGCCACCGCCCTTTCCCTCCCCACCCTTTCCGCCCCCAAACCATCCGCGGCCCCCCCTCGCCCCCACACCGCCGCAGCATCCTCCCTCCCCCGCCCGCCCCACGCCCTCCCCCCCACCCCCGCCAGCAGGGAAGGGGGGCACCAGAGGGGAGCGAGAGGGGGGGTGAGCAGGGAGGGGCGGGGGGGGACGGCGGGGGCGGGCAGCGGGCGCAGTGGGGGGTCGAGCGGGGGGAGGTGGAGTGGGGGAGGCGGGGGAGCGGGGGGAGCGGGGTTCCATGCGCGCAAGCTGTCAACAGACGACAGCTTCCTGGGTCTTTCCTCCCGCAGCCCCCTCGACACCTCCGCCTGCACTGCTAGAACGCCCCGCCTCTCCCCACACCCACCCGCTGCTGTTACTGCTGCTGCCACCGCCGCTGCCGCCGCTGTTGCTGCTGCTGCTGTCGGTGGTGGTGGTGCAGCAGATGGTACTGGCAGCATTACAGCCCCATCTGCTCCAACATTCAACCCCAGCCTGCCCCCAGCCACCCCACCCACCACTGCCTTCCCCCCGCCCCCCTACCCCACCACCCCCCTCACCCTCACCTCCCCCTCGTTCCCCCTCGTCCACTCAGACACTGCCACGTCACCCAGCATCATCCACAAGTCGCCGTCCACGCCGTCCGTCTCCACCGACGATGAGCTGGCGCCGCTGCCCGGCCTTGGGATTGCCGGGGCAGGGACAAGAGCGGGACTGGACGGGGGAGTGATGGGCGGAGTGATGGGAGGGGGGGCAGCGGAGAGGGGAGCTCTGGGGGAAGGGGAGGGGATGGGGGGAGGAGGGGCGGGGATGGGGCAGTACGGGGGCATGCATATCCCCAGGAATGAGAGTGTGGGCAGCAGCAGCGGGTCAGTGGCAGCAGGGGATGGGCTGGTGGGCGTGCCAAGGCCGAGCACGCTCAAGACGTGGAAGTCCATGCACGCCCACCGCCATAAACTCGCCCGTGGCCTGCTCTTCGCTGGTATGCCGCACCGTAAACCGCATCTCTAAAATTGTATACATATGTGCACCACGTGCTGCCTACATGGCTCGCACTGGTGGGCGTACGGATTGCGTTGACTCAAACCAATTGTCTTTCCGACCGAATGACTCAAACCGTTCTCCCGACCTCCGTCGCCCCTCCCAACCCCTGCCGCACCAACCTTCACTCTTCTTTTCCTTTGCTCTCTTCCCCAATGCAACACCTCCCGTCCACCACCCCCTCCTACCTGGGTGACATGGTGGCAGCAGGAGAGAGTGGGGAGGAGGGCGGGATGAGCCCCAGGGGCCTGGCGTTCATGGCAGGCGCCCGGCGCCGAGGGCTGTGGCGCCGCACTGTCACGCCCAAGGAGTGTGAGTGGGGGGGAATGTGATGCGGTTGAGAGGGGTGCACTGTGGTTCCGGATTATGCGCCCAAGGAGTGTGAGTGCTGGGGTTTGTAAAGCGGTTGAGCTGGGACGTGTGGGGAAGGGAGCGAGGGCTGTCTGATCAAGATGAGTGCGCTCTTCTCCGCACCTGCCACCTGCTCACCACATCCCCTGCTTCTCTCGTCTCTCCTCCCCCATTTGCTCATTCTCTTTTCTCCCTCCCTGAGTCTGCGCCCTGCACTCACACTCCCCACCCCCACCTCCCCCCCGTCTGTCCCTCCACCAATCCTGTCCAACACACCTTTTCCTTGCCACGACACCTTCCTGCTCCCCTCCTCAGCTGTCAAGCGCCTGCTCATGTGGCCCCAGGCGGGTTCTCAGGTGTCCCGCTGCGCCCCAGGTGATTCCTCTGCTGAAAACTCCTGGTCGCCCGTGGACCCTGCGTCCTTCGACGTGCGCGGAGAAACTTTTCTATCTGACCACCGCAAGGTGCCCGCCTGCCCGCCGGCTATTTACGAGCCGTGGGGCGTGGACGTGTTTCACACACCACTCAAAATCCGCCACGTGGCAGAGCATGTGGAGCTGCCTGCTTGCCTCTTTGGGAGGGGCGGTGGGGGGGGGAGTGGGGAGGTGCGGCAGGAGGGGGCGGAAGGGGGGGAGAGAGGGCAAGGGGAGGCGGATGGTTGCTTGGATGGTGTGTGTGCGGAGGTCTATGGGGTGGGAGAAGAGGGAGAAGGGGGAGAGGAAGGAGAAGGAGGAGACGGAGAATGGGCAGAAGGGTGGGTGCTGCCAGAGGTGCTGGTGGTGAACCTGCAGGTACCGCTCTACACCACTCTGCCGCTGCTACAGCAGGAGCAGGACGGCGAGGGAATCAGCCTGGTGCTCTACCTGAAGCTCAGCCCTGCTTATGCGCGTGGTGTTCCACCGTGCCTCGCTGCCATGCTGGAGGTGAGCCAAGTCACTTTGTGAGGCGTCCGTGATTACGTGCCGCCCTGATCCTCCTCATGTGCTATTTGCTGCCGCGTGTCCCCCTTCATGCAGCAATGTTACCTCTCAATTACACCATCGCGTACGCCACCCTCCCATCACTCTTTCCTTGCCCTTCTCCTCTACTCCCCTGCTCCCATCCTCCCCGCCTCCTCTGCTCCCCTGCCCCACGTCTCCCATTCCCCCCACAGCCTCTGTGCCAACCGCCAGCCCCAACTTTCTCTCCCCAGCCAGGGATGGGAAGCAGCATGCATGCGCCCACGGCCACAGAGGGGAGCACTCCAGACTGCACTGCAGCGGTAGCGGCTGTAGCAGGGCCTGGCGGGTACAGTGCTACAGATGCGGGTCATTCACGCTCTGGCAGTAAGGGGAGTGGCACGAGCGGCAGCAGCAGTGGGGGGAGGGGGGGAAAGGCAGTTGGGGGCAGTGAGGCTGGGCGGAAAGAATCTCCAAACGCGTTCAAGTGGGATCGGCCGAAGCTGCTGGCTCGGGTGGTGAACGAGGCTGGCATGGGGCTAGGTTCGGGTACGAAGAAGACGGTGCAGAGCTGGAGTGGACAGCCCATCCTCACTCGCTCGCACCACTCGCTCATTCGAGTGAGTTATTCCTGCTTCTGGTTCCGTCGAATGTTTCCTATCTCCTTTGAACATGTTTGACTGGCTGGTGATGATAAGAGAATGTCCACACAAGTGCGCTTGTTTCGCTTCGAGCATGGCCTGCACTCATCAGTATGTTTCTGTGTGTGTCTGTCACAGGGTGAGAGCAAGCCGTATGTGGAGGTGGACATTGATGTGCATCGCTTCCCCAATCAGGTCAAGAGAGGCCTCCTCCCGCTGCGCCGCCACCTCTCCTCCTGCGTTTTCGACATCGCCATCATCCTTCAAGTATGCTCCATTCCTTTCTTTTGCCGACCGTTCGTGTGCTTCTCTGCTTGGTGTTGCTAATAAGTCTTGCAGTAACAATGTTGTTCCTTATTGTGGATCTTCATTGTGTGTTTTTCGCTCTGTTGTCACACAATTCCTGTCAAGCAGGGTGTCAGCCCGGAGGAATTTCCTGAGCCGATTCTTGCCTGCGTCCGTCTTCATCGCCTTGACCTGTCCCAGTTTGGATCATTAGGCTCGGGATTGTGATAGTCGTCAGTATTATCTGTGCATTTAAATTGTTATGTAGGCTCAAAATTCTGTTAGAGTGCTGTATAATGCTCCCATTCTCCTACGGTAGTTGTCGGCAGTCGAGTCGTTTCTTAGCGCGAACTAAGTGACTCGCTGGGCCACCAACCGCTCTAGCACCCCCGCTTTTCCCCCCTAATCGCACAGCTGCATGGCAAGGCACGCGGCGCAGATCACCGTTGCAGCGAATGTGTTCGCTACAGTATCAGCTCTCAACCCCTCTTCGCCCCGTCTTAGCCGCACGACAACTCGCAGTACCGCACTTGACCCTGGAAAGAAACCCTCACCCTTTTAGCTCGGCACACCACCAGCAAGACATGTCACATGTCCAATCCGTGCCATCCCATCTTGCAGCACCCACCCACCACCATGTCACACCATGTTGAGAGCGGGAGAAACAACAGAAGCTGGTCCTTGCTCGCTTCGCCTCGCCTCTCCTCGCCTCTCCTCGCCTCCTTTTGGCAGTACTCAGCACAGCAGCACTCTCATCCAAATAACCCAACTATGTGGACAAACTGGGACGGACCGGGTCGGGTAAAGGGCGTATTAGAGACGTATTCGAGGCGGAACTGAGCGGATTAACTTAGCGCGTGCTGTAGTCGTTGTATTAGTGAGTGCGCGAGCGTGCTTGTCAGAGATAGCTTTCAGCGCACCTTATTCCTCTCCGGAAATGGCGCTGCTGACAGGGTTCCTGCACCGCCGATTGGCCACGCGGGGTTCTCAAGGAGCGCATAGGGGGTTGCAGGCGCAATATGGGGTAGAAGCGGGGGAAGAGGGGGAAAGGGCGGACGACGATTGGCGGAACAGCGAGTTCGGATTCTCGGGGCTTGCTACTATCGCGGACGTAGTGGATGAACTGGACGGCGAATGGGAGGACGACACGTCAGCGGGAGGAATCGAGGCTGAACACCCAACGCAATCTCCCTTGGCGTTGCCGACAGCGAGTGAAACGCGCATCCCAGGCGGCAGCAGCAGCAGCACCAGATTCCACAATCGACCTCGTCGCAGCACGGCAAAGGCCCGGCGCTGGCACTCGTGCTCCCCCTCGCCGTGTGTCTGCCCGCCCCTCTCCGCCTCCTTCCGCCCCATCTTCTTCCGCAACCTCCGCCTCCCCGAGTACTCCGTCATTTCCACTCCCCCTTCCTCCTTTCCGCCTTCCCCTGCGCCCTCGTACCTCTCCGCCACCTCCTCCGCCACCTCCGCACCTATTCTCCGCCATAGGTCCGCGGATTCCCATTCCCCCTCCTCCTCCTGTAGCACTTCCACCTGCGCCTCCCCCACGTCCTCCGCAGAGCAATTTTTCGACGCGGGCATGCCGCCGCTCCCCCGCCAGGTCGACTGGCGCAAGTTCGACTCCCCCTGGCGTGCCATGCTCTTCCGCATCTGCGGGTTCCAGTCCGCGGTGCTGCAGCGGCGCCAGCACGTATTCGTCCTGCGCCACGCGGAGCGCCTCGACGCCGTCGATCCGCGATGGGCGCAGCGGGAGCCCACCAGCCGGCCGTGGGACCCGCCGCTGTCGGAATGGGGGCGGTACCAGGCGTACCAGGTGGGGGTGCGGCTGCGGCGCGAGGGGTGGGGGGTGACGCGCGTGGTGTGCGCGCCGTACGTGCGCTGCGCGGAGACAGCCGCGGAGCTGATAGCCGCCATGAGCAGCACGCCTGACATGGACTACGCGCCCTCGGGACCTGGGTATGGGTGCTCCTCGTCGCCGTGCCTGCCGCTGCCGCGCGTGGGGCGCGTTGGTGCGGCGGGGTGCAGGACGGTGGGGGTGCAGCGGCACATCCTCCGAGCCATGCAGGTGCACAGGTCTGGGGCTAGGTTGGGGTGTGGTCGGGTGAGGGGTGGGAGACTTGGAGGTGGGGGGTGAGGGGGGAGGAGTTCAAGTAATGTGCCTGTAATTAATGAGGTGGTGTATGCAAGCGGGTATACTTATTGCCAACAATTTCCAAATTAGATGCAACTGCGCCTTGACGCCTGACCCTTTTCTCTCCCATGTTCTGCCCATCGCACCTCCCACATCCCTTGCTGCCACCAACAGCAACCGCTGACGCCCGCGCAGGCACTGCACCACCACAAGCGAAAGCACGCGAGAGACGTGGCCGGCTCTCTTTCCAGTTCGTACCACGACCCTGCTGATCGGAGGGCTCAGGAAGCCGCATCGGCGGTTGACATGTGGCAGGCTGGCATGCCAGTCCCTCTGCCCCACATCCGTGCCTGCATCGACTACTCCCTCTGTGAGGTGATCCCGCCCGGAACGGCACGGCCGCGTTTGTCCCATGCGCTGGCGGGTCGGGCGGCGCTGGAGGCATTATTGCCTGCAGAGTGTGTGGAGAGGGTGGTGTGGGCAGTGACAGGAGGCGCGGACTTGAGGGTCCCAAGGGGACCGGAGGAAGTGGAGCGGGCGGCAATGAGACTGGTGACAGCCATAGACCGAATCGCAGAACAGGTAACGGAAGGGTTGGGGGGCCGAGTCACAACTTTTGATTTGTAACCGTGAATATTCTCTGACATCTATGTTCTTTCGCTGTGCCGTGCTATCTTGTATTCGCGCAGTGGCCTGAAGAGAACATAATCATCATCGGCCATGCGGAGGCATTGCATGCATCTGTGCTCCGATGTCAGGCAAGGGTACGTGCCATGACCCCTTCCTCATTGAGCCGTCTCATCAGTGAAACAGTTTATAAGCTTTTGCCGATAACCCTTGTGCACACATACACTCAAAAGACTTCCGCCTCCACCCTGCTTTTCCCATTGTCCCTGCCCCCCTTTTCAGGCCAACGTATACAATATACTGATGGCGGCATTTGTACACCTACAACGTAATGTATATCAAGATAGGGAGGACGAGGATGAGAGGGGAGTTAGTGAGTGGCAGCTAGCCATAACCTCTGGAATGTCTGGTGTATATTTCATGTAGAATGTGTATCTGTGTTGCTTCACAAAACGATCTCTTGCACCTGCGTTACCAAATGCCCTACATTATCACAAAGATGGTTCAACATGCAGAGACCTGTGCATCTTAAGAGCACACAGAATATTAGTGGTATAGTAACAGGCTGAAGACGCCAGCCTACTTCAGAGACTGGTAGCCGGAAACAAAGGGGACGGACACAGCAGCTAGGTAAAGGTGGCAAAGGGTTTTTTCCTACAATATCCTAACTCCATGGCTTACAAATCATAAGCAATGCTCCAGTGAACGCGCTTACCAGCAGTCTCCCGTAACTCAGCATTCAAGGTCCAATTGTTCTCACGCAGCTGCAAGTAAGGCTTTCTCGCAACGACGTTGTACCCCAGCTTGACCTTCAGATCTTGATCCTCTGTGAAATTAAACACCTTCTGGCTAAGCTCCACTGAAGCCTTCGGCTTCCCGGACTGGGTGTGAGGCTGGTAATTGTACGCGCCCTTGAGATCGAGACACAGAAGGCCATTATCTGTTAGCTCCCAGGTCTTCTTTCCTTGAATGCTGTAAGTCACTTCTCGCGACTCAACGTCCACTTTAGCACCAACGTCAATGCTTGTCAGAACTTCCGGGAAGAATTTCTTCTTGAGCTGAATCAAGCAGCTAGGCTTGCCTGTCTGCGTGTTCAGCTTCGCATGGACCTGAAGCGCGATGTTGCCGTCACTCACAAAATTCTCCTTTGCGTGCATCACCAGGCTCCTGTCTTCAGCGTTAAGCCGTAGAGAAGTCTCCATGGTTTAAAGTTACTGAACCTGGACTGGAGAGCCTGCGAGCAATCCGCAAAACGAATGCCGGAGAACTCAGAAGGAAGGCTGGCTACCACTATTATTAGACGCACCAAAATGCTATATCAAGGAGATGGAAAAAATGCAGCCCTAGAAAAGGTTGCGACTACCCTGACAATTGCGAAAACCAATCTCGATAAAAAAAACTGATGAACAATATGAGATCGAGAGGAACCTAAAGTAATCAACAGAAACTCACAGAAATAAGAGAACTTGGCCGAGCGAAGAGCGTCAGCTACGGCGTGTGGTGGATGGCACAACCAGGTACAGCAGCCAATTGCGTGAGGGGAAGCCCAATGACGATAAGACCAAAAGGCTGATCAGAACGGCTGGCCCAGCTGGTCTGCATGGGAGATTGGCCATCAGGGGTGGGGGGAAGAAGATGCTTGCACAGAACGGGCGATGGCAAAAAAGTTACAGGCTACACAGTTTCGTGCCTCTGCAGGCGAACTATTGCTCGTCGTGAAGTTTCGCTCACACACTTCTCCGAGTTTCGCTTGCACGAAGCCTTTCGGAGAGTACCCTGTGGTACCCCCCACCACGTAGGCGAGCAGCTGGAAGTCCAGGAGGAGTCAGCTGTCTGACGGGACATTTTGCTTCGACCTGCAACACTCGCCAAATCAAGGCTGCTTCTCGCTTCACATCACACCCCCAACCACAGTTATTTCAAATTTCAAATGTTGCTGAAAATGAAATCATGGCCCGGTTAGGATGACTTGGTGGCAGATGAGTGACTGATTCTACTTGCTGTGTTCGCAAATCACAGTTCCTAGCTGCTATATGCATTACGTCGGGGTGCAATGCTACGAGCTGCCACTCACCGCCAGTCACTCCACACCCGACCAGCTACGCTCACGCCGAGACAGATTCCGACACACGTCTCCGTTTCGGGGACGGTTCCTGCGAAATTACGAAGCCGCAGCTTCTGTCAGGCCCGCAATGGCGGGACGCAGTCTAGAAACAGCTGGATTAATTCCTCCCACAGAAACAACAATTCGTTAGATGAAAGACAATCTGGTGACACGTGGAACAAGGAGCCCCTGTTCGCGCGGATATCTGTGACACCGCCAGCACCTGTCTCTCCCCCTTCCCTTTCCGGCATCCACCTCATCGTTCGTGGCGACTATAGCTGGCGGAGTCACGTTTTCCCTCCTCTCTCTGAACACGAGCTTGCTCCACGCACTGTCGTCTCTCCTCTATCGCATTTTATCCCATCGCCAGTCTGCTTCCATCGCCACCACCCTCGCCGTCGCCGTCGTCCCCTGAAAGCGCTCCATCCGTCACTCCCACTTCCGAGAATGGATCCTTCTTTGCGTACACCAAGCAGGTGGGTTCACTTAGAAGCCATTAAACACATGCAAAATCATTGCGTGCGTTGAGATGTCTCATAACTGCGAAGTTTCGTTATACTCACACGCTATTCAGGGCACCACAATGCATATGACATCGCATTCAACCCACGTCGTTCGCATCCGGTTGTGCTTCTCATCTGCTCCATCGTCAGGCGGCACCAGCAGCGCTGGCGACAATGGCGGTGACCTTCCCAAACGCCATGCAGGAGGACACCTTCATCCACGCGCTCGCCCTGGAACTCGCCAATCTTGGCTTTAAGAGGTACAAACCACCGGATTCACGAGCTTTATCCAGCATTTGCCCTAAGCTATGTGTGCGACTGGCCCAGTGTACTGACTTTGTTTGCTGTGCAATGCACCCCCCTCACGCACCTCACTCACGCCAGGGACAACTGCATAGCGCTCGTGAACACGTGTCGAGACGAAGTTTGCCGGCCGATAGTGAAGCTGATAGACTGCGAGTTTGGGCTTTCGTTCAACATCGCGGGGCTGGGAGGGCTCGTCAACTGCGGCACCACGGGGTTCAAGGCCGCCATGTCGCACTCGCCAGAGTTCCCCTGCGAAGTCAATGATGACCAAGTGCGCGAGAGATGTGAGTCACATGCATGCATCCATGGCGCACCACTTGCACTCGCTCCCTCCAGATGTCTAGCATGCATGTACCCTGCCTTCACTGTCTTCTTGACCGTCTGGAAACTCTGCTTGACCTTCCTCTGTTCGTTTCCCTTGCTCTCCTGCCAGACGTCTTCTTTGGCTTTCCACACGTGTCGGTGGGCGAGTCAGGCCAGGTGGGGTCGCTGCTCAGAAGAGGCCGGGGCAAGCCGTCCAGTGCATGCAGGGCGTTGATCGCCATCAAGAACGACATTTCAAAGGGAGGCCTGGTGCAAGATGACGCTGATGACAAGGAGTATGTGCTGCTGAAAAAGAAGATCGCTGCTCGGGTATGTGAGGGCCAATAGGGATGGGTCTTGTTTGGGCCACAGTGCAAAGCATTTTGGGCTGGTATCGGTTGAAACAATGTGTGACCCTTGAGGCTACAATTCCGCTCCACACCTAACCAATTGTCCCTGCTTCCTCCGTGGCCTGTCTGCCCACCCAGGTGCACTCCTCTGGATCGGATGGTCCATCGCTGGTGCGAGTAACCAAGGCAGCACTGGCAGCAATCACCGAGGACATTGAGAAGCTGGTGAAGCGCACTGTGAATCCCGAGACAGCAGACTATGCCGTCATCACTGGTGTGCAAATACACTCTGGCTATCAGGTGCGGTGCTTGCTGTGTTTATACGCCATTCATAACTGTGTTGCCCCAGCTGTTTTAGACATGCCTTTACTATCCTTGTCTGGACGTGCTCTGACGTTGTTGCATTGCATACCTAATCTGAACAGATTCCAGGGGAGCCATTTCAACTGGAGCGCACTTGTGACTACATTGCACCTAGTGCAATGTATGCTGTGGTTCGTGGAACGAAGCACGTTTTGCATTGCGAAGTGGACCAAATTAGAGACATCACGTCATTACCAGCAAGACACGTGATTGATTAGTCAAAGTAGGTATGAGACAGCAATAAATGTTTAAATAAGCTCTAATAAGGTGGGTATTATATTGGTACACACTAAAGGTTCCTCCAGGCTGCTGTAAACAAATGAAAACAAATGTCAATGGGCCTTCACGCTTGGAGGGACGCTGACTCCCGCATTCGCGCTATCAGAGGATGAACCAGAAGAGCTGCTTTGCGCGCACTCTCCGCCAGTGCGCTTTGCTAGCGCATCCAAAAACCGCTGCCCCGCCCCCGTACCCACCGCGCGTGCGGGCCTCGCAGCGGAGGAGGCAGCGAGGTGCGCGCAGTGATGGTCAGAGGCAAGGCGGTGCTGCAAGCAGTGGTCCTCCGCGCACGACCTGATGGGGTGGTGGCGGCGGGAGAGCAAAGATGGGAGTAATTTCTGAAGACTATGCACTGGCACAGATGGGGGCATCATGGCGACCGTTACAAAGAGATCGCAGAGTCCAAAATCTCAAGAGGGAAAGATCAAGTACCTACCTGCACTTGACGCGATTCGACGTGGTCAGTCGTTGCCGGCAGCCCCGCACCGGACACTTGGTCCTCCGCCCCGCCGATGCCGCCTGGCAATCGCTGCCGCCCACGTGGCGCGCGAGGGCTCTCTCGGCGTCCTCGAATCGCGACGTCCGGAAGCTAGAGGAGCATTTGGGGCAGACGGCGACAGTGACGTCCTTAACGTGGACGTCGGGACACTCGTGCGCGCCGTACGATCGGTGGTCCAGACAAAAGGGCTGCGGGGTCGGGGGGGATGGGCGGAACGGCAGCAGGGAGATGGGCGGAAGGAGATCGCGTAAGAAAGCGTGCGGAACGGCTACGTCGAAGAGCAGTTCGAGCAATTCAAACTAGAGGCATAAAGCGTAATTGGCGCGTTTCAGGAGGACGTGGATGGCTCTTTGCCCCTGGTAGCTCCCGACCTGATGGCACGCATCGCATTTGAACGGGAGGAAGTCGAGCAGCTGACACGACGACAGCGAACAATGGCGACCGAGGCTCGGAAACGCCTCGGTCCCTCCAGCAGAGCTCTCTAGTGGCATCTAGTCCGAGAATTGCAGTGGACTGACTGACGGTAGAAAATAATGGAAGCAGGAGCGCTGGAGACAAGGTAACAGATGGATGGACTAGAACGAAGGGCTTGCTATTACCAACGCGAATAAGGAAGCTGAAAAAAATAGTGCAGGAATTGCCGTGTGGAGTGGCACATCAGGCTTTTATGCAGCAGATTTCAGCCCCGACTGAAAACCGAGCTGTGAAGCTGTATGTCGCTCGTCACACGCCACGCCAGCTGCGTTCATGGAGGGGAAGAGTGCTGCGGACCTGTGGTACCTCGCATTGCGAAGAACATTCCATCGCAGCCCGCACGAAATTGCAGGATGTTTCTCGAAAGCTTTCGCAAACCAACATTTCGATTGACCAGGATATTACAAGTTGCGTGGGATTGCAGCAACAATAATACATACATCACCGTACAATAAATACTATTACAACACAATGCCTAAATGTATAGCACATAAACAAAGCCCAAACATTGGGTCGCCTGTGCGTCAGCGACCTCCACTAGCTGCGGATCTCGGCCTTCCTCTTTGCTTCCTCATCGCAACATTCTCCACCGCCTCATGAATGGTTGCAAGCCACAGCTGCAGCTGCTTGTTCATCATAAGGGACAAACAATTGCCCATGCACGAAAATCAACATGCGTCAGAATAAGCACCATGTCAACTGCACTGTGTACTGTATCTTGTTGCAAATATCTCACCCCTTCCCCACCCCCCTTACTGCACACTCTCCTCACAGTTCCCCCCTTCCCGTCCCAACCAGAGCAGCACAATTCCCCAGGCCGTGGGAGAACGGGAGGGTGGGATCTCACCTTGACACGGCTGCGAGTGGCGCACTCGAGGCGCAGCCCGTACCCCGTGGTGAGGTGGAACACCAGCCAGTCCTCCGCCTCCTCCCCCGCCTCCCCCCCCGCCTCCAGTGTCCCTGCTGCCGCCACGCTGTCAAGGGGAATGCTCACCTCGGGGTCCAGGTCTGGGGTGAGGGGGCAAGGGAGAATGAGGAAGGGGGGTGGGGAGGGAGGAGAGCGGAAAGGGCAAGAAAGGGAGGAATAGAGTGAAAGAGAGAGAAAGGGAGGAGGAGGAGATCAAGTTTCAGAGGCGGTGTTGGGCAAAAGCATGGGGAATCCCATGTAGACACACCTGGCGTGTGTCAGCACATGGAGAGGTGACAGCGCGGCGCACCTGAGGCCTGGCGGTAGCAGGAGACCTCGTTGGTGACATGTTTTGAGGCGCGTCAAAGACACACTTAAGGTGCTTTTCAGCACATAGAGTGGTGAATGTGAGGAGCACCTGAGGCCTGGCGGTAGCAGGAGACCTCGTTGGCAGAGAGCGTAACGAAGCGTGGCAGCCACTCATCCTCTGCCTCGGGGTCGTCCACTGGCAAAGGGCCCTCGCCCCCCATGGGCGCCCACCGCTGCCAGGGGAGGGGGAGTGGGGAGGGGGATGATGGGGAAAGGTGCATAGTTGGTTGCAGTTTTGAGGGACCTCAAACATTGACAGTTGGGGCCGGTGGGAATGTTGGGGTCACGCACAAGGGTGGCTGCATTCCACTCACATGCAACAACCCAGCGGTAGGCGTGCCTCATACGATCACAACGTTATAATCACATTGTAGCAGCCATGGCCGTCAGGAACATTGCATAGCCAGTTGCATGTTCACCTGTTGAAGGTCACAGACTCACCTGCTTGCATTCACAAGGCAGCCGCCACGGGAGGTGTCAACCGTATGCATACCTGGCGTGTGTGCAGATACTCCACAAGCAGCGCTCGCTTGAGCATGGCATCCAGATGTGACAGCCTGGCATGTGCCGTGCGGATCAGGGGTGCAGACGGGATGAGAGGGAGAATTTGGATTGAAACATGTGGAGCAGAGTTGAATAAGGCATGGCAAACGGGTAATGGCACTGCTGACGCAGCAGATGAACGAGGAGGAGGAAAGAGGATCAGCGGAGCACATACAGAGACATGCTCAGACACGGCAGGCACATGCACACCAAGCACACACGCAGCACTCACTTGGCTTTGGCTGTCTGTTCCCTCTCCTCTGCTGCTGCCACCTCATCCCGCACCTCCACCGCCTGCCACACCACCACGGCACCACAGAGCACAGGTAGCAGACGGTCAGGGCATAGGCAGCAGGATACCAGAGCACACGAGCACAACAAATGTGGGCAGGATATCATAGTGGAGAGATTGAATCGGCTCTGCTACCGACATTCCCCTCCTCCTCTCCCAACTTCCCCCGCCTCCCTCCCCCAACATTTCCCCCGCTCCCCTTCTTCCCAGAGACCCCATTGTTAGAAATAGTCAGTCAACACTTTGTACTATATTCTATATCGGTTAGGTTACTTTGTAGGTTGGGTGTAGATTTGTAATCCCAACCCTATCTGGTTGGGATTCCCTCGTAATCCTGCAAATCTGCCAACTCACCAATTGGAGATTTCCTAGGATTCCCATCCCATCCTTTCCCTAGCTTTGCTCAACCCAACCGTGTTTGTACTTAAGGCCTCGTGCCTTCCTTATCAATCAATCAGTTAAGTTCCAATTCTATCATGGTATCGAGCTAGTAAATTCCGCTCACGCGGAATCCGATCCTTGGCGTCCCGATGGTTCTCTCCTTCTAGGCTATGCCTATTTCGGCTCCCGGCTCCTACGCTTAGCGTATTTCAGAAACTTCACATCGTCGCTCCGGTCAAGCGCGCATTCGGCTTCCTTCATCGCGCTTCTCGTTTTTCAACGGCGACATTTTCAGCTTTCGACTTCCTTCATCGTAAGCCTCTGGTTTTTCAAATCTCCGTCGAAATTGTCGCATCTTCTTAACTTCGAACAGTTTTTCAGCGGCGCAGCAGAACAGGTCCAGTGGCGCAGCGGAACAGGTTTTCAGCGGCGCAGCGGAACAGGTTCAGCGGCGCAGCAGAACAGGTTCAGCGGCGCAGCGGAACAGGTTCAGCGGCGCAGCGGAACAGGTTCAGCGGCGCAGCGGAACAGGTTCAGCGGCGCAGCGGAACAGGTTCAGCGGCGCAGCGGAACAGGTTCAGCGGCGCAGCAGAACAGGTCAGCGGCGCAGCAGAACAGGTCAGCGGCGCAGCAGAACAGGTCAGCGGCGCAGCAGAACAGGTCAGCGGCGCAGCAGAACAGGTCAGCGGCGCAGCAGCGAAGCAGAACAGGGGGCATCGGCGAAGCAGTATAACAGGGTATTTTACGGGCATTCTATTGCCGAAATCGCGTTTCGGCCTTCCTCAATTTCCAAAATCGCCGCGCTGCGCTACGTATCGGAGACTTTAGCGCTGCGCTCCGCGCGAAATGGCAACTTCTACTTCCACTCTCGTCGGAAACCTCATCATCCTTAACCTCGCTCCCAACGGCACGAGCATCAATTTCGGGGAGTGGTGCTATGGAGTGGAGAAGCACCTCCTTAGCTCGGAGCTCAAGGGGGTTTGCCTCAAGGACATCCTCCTCAACCGCGGCAAGGGGAAGATGCCTCTCCCTCCCGATCCTCTCGGTGAAGGCGCCACTCCCACAGCCAAGAGCGCTTTCGATGCTAAGACCACCAAGTATGAGACGGACTTCAGTCTCTGGGAGCAGGCGGATGCGGCAGTGATTAGGGTTTTCATCACCACCACCCCAGTTGAGTTAGTCAAGTCCTACCGCACCTTCCGATCTGCGCATGACATTTGGAAGTACCTCCAGGATCGTTTTCATGACAAAACTGCCGTGGGAGTTGCAATCCTCATTCCTCGCATGTTCCAAATCCGCCTTGAGGAATGCCCGGGCATGGCAGATTACATCTCTGAAATCCGCAACATCCATGAGGAGCTCAAGGACATTGGGATCACCTTCCCCGAACAGGCACCTGCTGCTGGGCTTCTCGTCGGACTCACCCCGGCCTACAACGTCACCAGTTCCATGCTCAAGCAGCTCCCCACCAAGGAACTCACCTTCGAGAAAGTCGCTTTGGCCCTTCTCTCTGCGGAAAAGGACCTTGCAGCTCAGGCATCAGTCAATGCTGTGCGCTACTCCCCTGGCATTCCATTCCGTTCCCAGCAGGGCCAGAGGCGCAACTCCTTTCCCCCATGCCAGTACCTCATTAGGAAGGGTCCACGTGCGGGGCAGAAATGCAACGGCACCAACCACCCTGAGGCCACTTGCTTCAAGAAGCAAGATGACGAGTGGTATGACGTCCATGGTGTCTCCAAGGACAAGCGCCCTCCCAACTGGGCACCACCCCGTCGCGTGAACCAGGTCGAGGCAGTGGAGGAACCTGCTCAGGCATTTGCTAGCGCCCCATCTGATGTTCGCCTTAACCTGTTGTTCTCTGGTGCTGGTCTTATTAATGAGAAGGGGTCGCAGTACATCGGTGTTTCAACCACACAGGGAATCGAGTTCATACTAGACAGTGGTGCCACCCACACAGTGCTTAAAGACCAAACCGCCTTCGTTCCCTATCAGGCTCCCACCTCACTCCTTGGAGCAGATTCTAGCTTCTCCATCCAATGCCATGGCTCCTCCACAGTTTCCTGTCCAGCATTCCCATCTGGCACCGTCACTGGCATCTGTGCCCCAACCCTCCGCTACAACCTTCTTGCACAGCGGGAAATCCAACACGCAGGCGTGATCACCATCTTTCCCAATGATGTTGACTACTGTGACATGTTTGACGCCAAAACCGGACTCCATCTTGCCCGCTTCACCCTCAACTCCAACAACCTGTACACACTAGTTGTACCTCCCATTCAAACATGCTCCCTCACCAACCTTCCGCTTCCATCCTCAGACTCCCCCTCATGTCACTGCCGCCTCCTCACTGACAAAACTATGCTATTTCATAACCGCCTCGGCCACATCAACTTCCGCGCACTTTCCGACCTTGCCACCAAGCAACTCCTTCATGGACTGCCCGCCTCACTTCCACAACCCCCCTCTCTTTCTGGACCGCCTTGCCTTGACTGTGCACAGAGCAAGCTTCGGGAACAGCCCCATCCTCCCACTGAGTCCATCTCTACCGCACCTCTCGATCGCGTACACATGGACCTTTGGGGTCCAGCACCTGTTCGTTCCCGTGGCGGACACTTCTACTTCCTTGTCATCGTTGATGACTATTCCCGCTATGTGTCCATTCACCTTCTCACCGCCAAGTCTGAAGCCCCAGCCATCATCATGGAATGGGCCAGGCAGGCTCATTCACACTTCAAAACCAAAATCAAGTTTCTTCACTCTGACGGTGGCGGTGAATTCCGCAACAACACTCTCAAAGCTTTCTGCTCTACTGAGGGTATCCAACAGACCTTCACTCTCCCAGACAGCCCTCAACAGAACGGTGTTGCTGAATGTCGAAACCGCATCCTGGTGCAGATTGCTCGCTGCCTCCTCACTCATGCTTCCGCCCCTCCCTCTCTTTGGGGATACGCCATGCTCCTGATGCTGCCACTACACCTCCTGCTTCTCCTCCTCCAGCTCCGCCTCCCTCCCCCATTGCTGGTCGCACCCGCTCGCACAAAGCTCCCAAGCCTATTTCCCTTTCCATTCGTGTCTCTCTCAATCCTCCTCCTGTCGGGGGTGATTATTCGCTCATGCCCTCCCTTCTTGAGGACAGACATGAGGAGTTGATTGACATTGACTCAGCCATACACGCGCTCTGCTCTCTCTTTCCAGATATCGCAGAATCTCCCACCCTCAACTTCTCCGACAACCCCTCCATCCCCACACCTCTCACCTATGCTGAAGCAGTTTCTGGTCCTAACTCCGCTCAGTGGATAGGGGCCATTATCGCAGAGTGTGAGGCCTTCATTCACACAGGGACTTTCACAGATATCATTCCTCCCTCCGGCGTCAACATTGTGAAGGGAAAATGGGTTTTCCGGGTGAAACAACTTCCAGGCGAATTTCCTGTCTTCAAAGCCCGGTACTGTGCCAAGGGATTTACCCAAAAGCGTGGACTGGACTTCTTTGAGACATTCTCTCCCACTGCCAAACCTCCCGCACTGCGCACCCTTCTCGATGTGGCCGCTCGAGATGACATGGAGGTTGACTGCATGGATGTGTCTTCTGCGTTTCTGCAAGGGATCCTTCGAGAGGAAATCTACATGGAGCGGCCCGAAGGATTTCCAGCTCCTTTTCCGCCAGGCACTGTATGGAAGCTGAATCGACCAGTATATGGCCTCAAGCAAGCACCCCGGGAATGGCACAACAAGCTCAAGAGCACCTTAGGGTCCCTCGACTTTCACCCATCCACCTCTGACCCCAGCCTCTTCATTCGAGCAACACCATCCCGCTTCTTCATCTTGGTTTATGTCGATGACATGATCCTTGTCACCAAGGATCAGAATGAGCTGGCAGCAGTCAAAGCCGCACTTGGTGAGAAGCTGGCCATGAAGGATCTTGGGAAGCTGACGAACTATCTGGGCATGGAAATCACACGTGATCGCACGGCCCGCACCATCACCCTCTCGCAGAAGTTCTACATCAACAACGTTCTGACAAGGTTCAAGATGCAGGAAGCAGCTTCAATGCCCACCCCACTCTCTCTGCAGCACCAACTCACTGCACCCTCTGTTCCCTCACCTGAGCCCTGCGATGAGGCTTACCCCGAGCTCGTTGGTTCCCTCATGTACGCGATGATGTGCACTCGACCAGACTTGGCCTATCCAGTCAGTGTCCTGTCTCGCTACGTTGCACCTGGTCGCTTCACGAGCCACCACTGGTCTGCCGCCAAGCGGGTCCTCCGCTATCTCAAAGGCACACAGGACTATGTGCTCACTCTTGGCGGCTCTTCCCCTGTTCGCCTTGAGGGGTACAGTGACTCGTCCTATGCTGATGACCAGAGTGATCGGCGCTCTTCCCAAGGGTATTGCTTTACCCTTGGCAGTGGGGTTGTCAGTTGGCGCTCCACTCGGTCGTCTTCCGTCTCACTGTCGACCTGTGAGGCAGAGCTGTATGCAGGGACCATGGCTGCCCAGGAGGCCCGTTGACTCTCCTTCTTGCTGGCAGAACTTGGGTATCCTCAACCAGCCCCAACGCTTTGGTGTGACAACGAGAGCACCATTCATCTCACCAAGGACCCCGTCTTCCACGGCCGCACCAAGCACATTGAAGTCCGTCACTACTTTCTTCGTGAGCTGGTGCAGCGCGAGCAGCTGAAGGCAGAACACATTGCCTCCGACTGCAACCTTGCTGACTTGTTTACCAAGTCTCTTGTTCGTCAAGACCACTACCGCCTCCTCTCGTCCATGGGTGTTGGACCGCCATGTGGCTGAAGTGTTGTCAGCCTAGGGGGTGTGTTAGAAATAGTCAGTCAACACTTTGTACTATATTCTATATCGGTTAGGTTACTTTGTAGGTTGGGTGTAGATTTGTAATCCCAACCCTATCTGGTTGGGATTCCCTCGTAATCCTGCAAATCTGCCAACTCACCAATTGAAGATTTCCTAGGATTCCCATCCCATCCTTTCCCTAGCTTTGCTCAACCCAACCGTGTTTGTACTTAAGGCCTCGTGCCTTCCTTATCAATCAATCAGTTAAGTTCCAATTCTATCACCCATTGCCTTCCAGTGTGTGCCCCCCTGCCCACCTCCGCACTGGCGGGGCTGTCCTTGGCAGCGCCACTGCTCCACCCAAACAGCCACCCGCTGCCCCCGGCACTGCTCACTGCCCCCTTCTTCTGCCCCCCTGCACCGCCGCTGCCAGCAGCAGCAGTGGCAGGGCGGGCAGGGACGGGGTTGAGAATGCGGGAGTCTGTGGAGTGAGGTGTGTCTGCTGGGGTGGTGGCCCTGGGGGGAGTGAGTGAGGGGTGTGTGACGGGGGGGAGGGGAAAAGGTCAGGGGAAAGAGAAATGGGCTGAGTAGTGTGCATTGGAGAGGTCAGGAAGGAAGCAGTGCAAAGATCGTGTGGGTTACGTGAGTGCTGTAGCGCACATGATGTGACTGTGGTGACTGTGAGAGGGCAGTGGTCATAGTGTAGCAACTTCGACATGTGAGCACTCGAGCACTGGTGTGCAGCGCGGTGCCGCCACACCACGCACCGTGAGCTGGCAGAGGAGAATCCGTCCAGATGCAGAGCACGGAACTGCCGCGGTGGCACCAGCTTCGCATGCTGCTGCTGCCCCGCCTGCCCCGCCTGTCCAGGCCTGAGCTGCTGCGAGTCCATCCCTGTGACTCCCACTGCTGTGGCAGGCCGAGGGCCGAGCTCTGATGCGGGCTGCCCTGCTGCGTGTGCCGCCACCACTCGCCGGCGCTCCACCTGACTCGCCATCTTCCCCCCACCCACCCGGGCAGCCACGCGGAGCGATGGGCGGAGGGATGGCAGGCGAGGGTGGCAGGGAAACGGGAGGCGTGGGGAAGGTGCACGTGGAGGGGATGCGAAAGGGCAGGGCCGGGGAAAGGCAGAGGGGAGGCGCAGGGTGAGGCACAGGAGGAGGCACAGAGTAAGGCACATGGGGAGGCACAAGGGGAAGCACAGGGCGGGTTATGTTGAGGCAGGTCACTGCAGTGGGCAAAGTGAACCTGCTGCACAGAATGTGGGAAGCACACACATGCATACGTGGCATGTGTGCTGTGCTCACCTCGAACGCCACCAGGTCAGCGGGGCGCATGTTGGCCAATGCAGGGTGGCCACGTGTCATGCCCACCAGTGTGATCCCCTCCACCCCCGCTTTCTCGAAACCGGCGGCATAGTCTGACATGGGACATGGGCGTGGGGTTATGGGCGATGGGCAATGGGCAAGGGGCAGGTGGGCGAGTGGGAGAGGGGGGGTGGGACAAGTGGGCAGGTGGGCATCACGAAGCGGATAAGGAACGAAGTGCAAGCGGGATGAAGGCAGAGCAGGGCAGAGGAGGGCAGAGGAGGACAAAAGACGGCAGAAGAGGTTGAAGGAGGACAGTGGAGGGAGCAGGGTGGTAGGAGGGGCAACGTACGTGCAGCGGGGGCGGAGCGGAAGGGCACGGAGGAGCGCAGCCAGTGCAGCACGTCGCTGGACGACCACTGCAGCAGCGACGCTGGCGCTGCCCGCACAGCCAACGCAGACGACTCAGCCGCTGCCCCGCCACTTGCACCGGGCGCTACCGTCCCAGGTGCCTTGGCGTCGGGGGGGTTGGACTCCTGAGGCGCGCCACTTGCACCGCCCGAGGCAGCAGTGCGGGCCTCTCCCCCCCCCCCAGCAGCGCCCATGGAGGCGGCGAGGCTGCGCTTCACCTCGTCCAGCGCCTCGCCCCTGCCGGTGGGAGATGCGTCCCCTGGCGATGTAGCCGCTGCAGCACCGGCAGCAGCAGGGTCGGCAGTGGCAGCAGGTTCGGCAGCAGTATCAGGGGCGGCAGCAGAGACAGCACTAGCAGGGACGGCAGTGGGCTCGCCGTCAGTCCACAGCAGCCGCTGAATTGCCTCCGCTGATGGCCCTTTGCCCACCCCCCCTGCTGCTGCCTCCCCTGCCTCCTTGTGCCCCTTCTCGCCCCTGGCCTCGCCGAGTTGCTCCAAGGCAGGGGCGGGTGGGGCGGGTGGAGCAGCGAGGCCCATGCGGTGCGAGATGGAGGCGAGCAGCGTGAGCGGAGAGGCCGTGGTGGGCAGGGGTGAGACGGCAGGCAGGGGCGAGACAGTGCTGGTGGTGGAGTCGAGAACACTGCAGGGTGTGGGGTATGTATGGGGGAATGGGTAGTGGGGAGTCGACAATGGAAGTGGGAGGATGGGGAGGCAATTGGGCAAGACAAGTCAGAGGATGAGAGCAAGGAGATGAGAAGCCGAGATGGCAGAGGAAGAAATGGGCAGAGCAGGAAGCAAGCAGCAGGGAGTGTGTGAGGAGAGGAGCGCCTCACCTCTCGCCCTTCTCCCAGGCGGCCAGCAGGTCGTGCAGCTGCACGCTCTTCACAGCGCCCTTCACATGCGCCGAGGGGGACTCCAGCAGCAGCCCCGCCCCCAGCTCCTCGTATAGCTCCTCCCTCCGCCTCTGCTCCCCCTCCACCCTCTCCTGAGCCTCCCTCTCCCGCTCCTCCCGCTCTCTCGCCTCCCGTTCTTGCTCCTCCACACTCACCCCACCAACCTGCCCTCCCCGTAACTGCTCCCCGGCCCCTCTCTCCCCCATGGCTTGTCTTCCCCCTCCCAACATTCCCAAACCCTCAGAGTCCCAATCCCCTTCCCCCTCCGCCTCCAATTCCGCCCCCCTGTCCGCAATCACCAGCACATCCGCGCTCTCCCTGGCCCCCCTGGCGCGCCCAGGCTGCGCCCAGGGGGAGGGGGAGAAGGGCTGGGGGGACATAATCGCGGAGGCGGGGGAATGAAGTGGAGAAGGTCGTTTCCAGGAAGGTTCGGATGAGAGAGAGGGGGAAGGTTGTGCGGAGGAGGGGTAGGAGGGGGACGGGTGAGAAGGGGAGGGCTGAGAGGGGAAGTTCATCTTAGCCAGCAGGTCGAGAGACAGCCCTATCTTGTTCCCCGGCCCCGCTGTTCCCCCCCGCATGCTCCCCCCGCTGCCACCCCTGCTGCCCTCCCCCTGCTGCTGTTGCTGCTGCTGCTGCTTCTGCCTCGCATCCGCCCTGGGAGGCAGCCCTAGTGGCACTCGACTGCCCATCCCCCCTCCCGTTCCCCCCACGCTCCCCCCACTCCCCCCACTCCCCGCCAGGTCCAAATGCTGTGGGCCTGCGGCGGCTGCTCTATCCGCGGCTGCCCACGCGCCTGCTGCAGCGCCCCTGCCCTTGCGCGCGCCCCTCTCCTCATCCAATGACACAGACAGGTGGCGATACCGCTGCAGCACTCGCACCCGGTCGCCTGCCCCCCTGCTGCTGTCACCAGTGCTGGTGGTCACGGCGCTGCTGCTGCTGCTCCTGGCAGCACCAGCAAAGGCGGAATAACTGCTGGTAGTACTGCTGGCGCTTATGGCACTGTTTTCAGCACCCCCTTCCACGCTCAGCCCACTCCCAGCTGCCCTTGTCGCCCGCTCGTGCGATGCAGAGAGAGTGACGCTGCGGAGAAACAGCTCCCCGCTGCCGCCACTGCCCCACAACGTGCCCCCCATGCCAACCCCACCGATACTGATGCTCCCATTCCCACCAGCACCCCCGGTGCCGCTGCCATGTGTGCTGGCAGCACCGGAAATGGAGTTGAAGCGGGGGAAGGCGGAGGAAGCAACACGCCCTCCACTGGAGTGCGGGCGGTGGTCCTGCAGCACAGCGGCGCGCAGGCGAGGGCGGGAGCCGAATATGTCCTCCTCTAGGGAGGAAGGCGGGCGCGCGTGGGAGAGGCGGTCGGAGAGAGTGGAGGGGCCGGCGCTGGAGGGGCGCGGGATGGCTGAGTCGAAGGAGGAGGGGGGTGGCGCTGAGGTGCTGCTGCTGCCGTCGCTGCTGTTGGCGGTGGCGGCAGCAGGGGTGGCAGCGGAGGAGGAAGGGGAGGAGGAGAGGATGGAGTTGGGGGAGGATGCTTGCTCCGCAGCCAAGTCTGAGGGGCCTGACTTAGCAGCTGACGCGTGTGTGAGGCTGTCAGCAGGTGCGGCAGCAGGGGACTCGGCTTCGTCATACCCCTGTGCGCTGACCACACTGCCGTGTGCTTCACCGTCGCCCTCGCTGCCGGTGCTCTCCGCATACCCCTCGTCCACTGCACGCTGTGCACGCACACGCGGACAGGCGTGGGGAAGAAGGATGAAGGGATGCACTGCACATATCTGAGAATCTGAGATTCTTTAAATGGGGTCCCAGAAATAGAGAGCGGGATTGGCGGTTGAACATGACTAAGAGAGAGGCTGTGATACTTTGTGGTTGTTTCAGAAAGTCAGTCCCAGTCAACGGCAGTCATGCCTTGTCCACGTCAGCAGCTTACCTCGTAGCACAGCTCACAGACCTTGGCCTTCACCCCTCCCGCCTCGATCTGCAGTCAAGTGAATTTAACGGGGTCAAGTTAAGAGAGCCTGGACGGGTGACAACAGACGATCACAGCATGGGTGAACATAACGAGCGAAAATACTCCAAGTGCAGTCCTCATACCCGCGTGCCACGTGTCAACGTCTCACCATGGCGCTGAGCGGGTTGAGCGGCAGCACGTAGCCGGTGCACTTGCTGCAGTACACGTTGCCGCAGCACCGACAGTGGTGCCTGCGCGCCGAGAACGATCACCACGCACCATGCAACAAACAGCACGCAGCACGCAGCATGCAGCAAGAGTAAGCCGCACGCAACGCAGCAAGCAGTAAGCACGGAGCGCCAAGCGTCAAAGAGAAGGAGCGACGGCTGCTCGAAATCACAAGGGGATAAAGGAGCGGAACGGGTCAGAGCGAGGTCTGCCATGACTGCGAGTGCTCCACCGCGCCGCACGCCAACGCGGAGGCTCTTACTTGCGGCGGCGCTGCGTGAACTCCTTTCCGCATGCGGGATTGGTGCAGCGCTTGAACGCCTCCTCCGGCATCCAATGGCTGCGCGACACCTCGCTGCCCGCCCCCGGCGAGTCCACCCACTCATCAGGCTCCGGCGGCGACGCGACCAAATCCGCCTCGGGACTCCACATCGCGCCGGACTAGCTGCTCCGAAATAAATTAATGATTTGCGTGGTCCTTGAGTATCCTATGAGGAAGGTCAGACGTCCATGCGTGGGAGAGATCGCGCGACGAGAGTAAGAGGCAAATGCAATGCGTGTGGAGCACACGCGACGATGAAGGCCGAACGTCGCTGGAGTCGGAGTGAGGCCAGGCGCCAATAACCAGGACCAGAGCTGTGGGATTCTTCCGTGTGATGTGGTGCTCGGCATGGGAAATGTTGGGAATCTGGTCTTGGGATGATGGATACTGTAGCAATGCAATTCGGTTAATAAAGGAATGTACCCCTCAGAGTACATGGCTAGCTAGGATTGCTATTTATTCCTTGTATCACTATCCTTTAACCATCTTGTTCTCTTTCAATTTTATCAACAAGGTCATTCAGAGACTTCTTTGTTGCTGCTGGCTCTGCTCTGCGCTTGGGTTGAACCCGAGGAGTTGGGCTCGGCGCTACAGTGGTCGCCCGTTTCCAGTCGACAGTCCCAAGGTCGCTGTTGGCGGGTGCGGCCGAACTGGCCTGCGGCCCTGGGCTTGGAAATTCGTCCGCCATTGGGTGACTGGTTCGTACGAAAGGGCTGCCTCGTTATAAGAGTTCCATGGAGTAACGAGTCGGAAAGTTCCACAAAAATGGATGCTGATACTATGAAAGCAAAACGTATTCATTAGGCAATGAGGAACTAGAGGGGGGAATTTGTCATAGCTCTGGTGCCTTCCAGAGCTTCAGCTTCTTGTCTGCACTCGCTGTGGCAAGTATGTGCACTGGCTTCGATCCTCCAGCTGCAAAAAGCACACCAAAAGGAGGAAAAAATAATGTTGTGAACAGCCACAACATCAAGACCATATATAAAAAAAAAGAGGAGGAAACAAAACAATTCTCACCAATGGGAACTGGCTTGGGCGACCATGACATCCACGTGATCACATCTGCATACACCAAAGCACAGGAACACAACCAAAAGAGTGAGGGTGGTGAGAGGAGCAACCTCACCTCACACCCAGGTAAGCCCATCCATGCAAAACATACAAACCAACTCACCAGTGTGAGCCTGCTCGTCCGCCGTGACAATACTGCCCCCCTCCAGCTCATACCACAGCAGCGCCGCCCCCACTGCCACAGCCAGCAGGCGGCCATCTGGACTGACAGCTATTCTGTCCAGCAGCGGCAGCACGGGGCCTGCGGGCTTTTTGCCCTTCTTGCCTGTTGAAGCAGCTGCTGCTGCATCAGCTGCTGCTATGGCCTCTGGCGTGGTGGTGGAGGGCAGTGGCAGGATGGGGAAGGTGCGGCGGCACTTGGGGTCCTCGTCCAGGTGGTAGCGCACTGGGGGGGTTGGGGAAGGGGGAGAGAGAGAGGGAGGAGAGAATCAACAGGGGCACAGGGAGGAGGGGGGGGGGGGGATAGAGGGGGTTGTGGAGACGAGCAAGTGGAGGAGTAGAAGTGTGAGCAGTAAAAGGGCGAGGGGGAGGAAGGGATGGAGGAGTGGGGATGAGGGGCGAGGGCATACCGTCAATGTTCCATATCTTGATGGTGCCATCCTTGGATGCCGTGACCATGCCCTTGCTGTCCCATGTGAACGCCAGCCATGTCACCGCACTCTGCACCACACATGCACATGCACCCACGGCAGGCAGAGCAGGAAGTCATACGGTGATCACTCATAAGGTGCAGTGGGCATGTAAGCGGAGTGTTGGTAGGAAAAGCCAGTTCAGGTTGGCTTGGCTCAGCTAAAGTGGCCGAGTGGGCAACAATGAAGCGAGTTGATATATATAAAAAAAAGGATGGTGGTATCACTCGCCCGTATATATGCATGCCCTATAACCTGAACATGATGGTGCGAATTAAATCTTACCTTGTGGCCCTTGAGCTGCATGACACGTGTCACGCTCTGAATGGCTCCATCCCGTCCATACACAAGCTCCCATATCTGAAACACACCATGGCAACATGCACGTAACGAGCCCTTGAGCACCGCAGGAGGCACACAAGACAGGGCGATGAAGCATGGCATTCCAACAGCGACAACCATTCCGCATCCCTAAGAGCAAACAACAGCAGTGGCATGCACTCGCCTTCACGTCTGCCGTAAAGGCCGCGATTGCGAGGAACCTTCCATCAGGCGAGAGGGCGGCCATGGTGTTGCGCAGCTGGTTGGAGTCCACCTCCCCCACCACCTTGCCGTCTGCTGCCCCCCACACCACCACGTCCGTTGCTGGCACGGGGGGGCGGCGGAAGCAGGGGAGAAGAACGAGCGGAACGAGAGGAGAAGGGAGGAGAACTGAGTGGGAAGGCGGGCACGCAAGTGAAGAAACAGGCAGAGACCGGGGTGGCAGTGAGCAGCAATACGAGCTCTGCAGAATGCAGTGTGGCGTACCTTCTGATGATGTGGCGATGACAGCAGTGCCATCACCGGACCCCTGGGTGGAGATGGCGGAGGTGATGGCGATGATGGCCTTGTTGCCGTGTGCGGGGCGGTGCTCCCACTTCACCTCCACCGGCGCCTGCTTGCCCTCCTTGCGCGCCTCCTCCAACGCCCTCCCTGCTCGCGCCACAGGGGACAGGGGAGGGGGAGGTGGGGGAAGGATTTGAGGCGGCTCAACAGTGACAACTGTGCTGACTGGGGTGTTGTGGAATGATGAATCAGAAGAGAAGGTGCGCTGACCTGTGGCAGGGCAGCGCACCTGTGGGGGGGCGGCGGACGCACCTGTGGCGGGGCCGTAGAAGCGCATGCAGCTGCCGTAGGGGCTGGTGCCCGACACGGCCACCTCCATTGCCGACATGCCGAACGCCACCCCCACCGGATGCACCCCCGGCCCCGTGTTTATGCGCCGGAACCTGGCGCAGGGGGAGGCGGGGGGAGCGGAGGGCAGGTGGCCGGATAGGTGGGGGAGTTGTGGGGGAGGGGTGGAGGATTGAGGCAGGAGAGGGTGGTGGTCGTGTGTTCAGGTAAGAAGTGTGATGGACGATGGAAGCGAGTGGAGGCAATGTGGGCGGCGGGTGCATGGGGTGGATGGGGGGCATGGGGTGGATGGGGGGCATGGGGTGGATGGGGGGCATGGGGTGGATGGGGGGCATGGGGTGATATACAAGGAACGTACTTGATGCTCTTGGCAGTCACGTCGTCGATGGTGTACACTCGCACCACTCCATCGCCACACGCTGCACACACGCACGCACAGACGCAGACACACACACACACACGCACGCATGCACGCACGCAGGCACACGCACATGCAAGCATGCATACTCATGAAGCAGAGTAAATGGGCTAGAATCATGCACGCGTAGCAGCCAAGTATGATGCAGCATGGACGCGCGAGCGTGTGATGAGTACGTGACAAGGACAAGTGGTGAGAAAAGAAAACAGCCAACGGCAGGTCAGCTGCAAACGTCCATCTCAAGGCTGTCGTTATGTCTCCGTTGTTCATCCGTTAGCGTGCGTGCAGGAGAGAGAGTCAAATATTTCCAGGTGCATGCGAGCAGGAAGAGCGCACCTGTGGCGAGCAGGAAGAGCGCACCTGTGGCGAGCAGGAAGAGCGCACCTGTGGCGAGCAGGAAGAGCGCACCTGTGGCGAGCAGGAAGAGCGCACCTGTGGCGAGCGCGGAGCCATCGTGCGAGAAGCAGAGGCCCGTGACGGCGTCGCCGTGCTTCAGCGTGTTCACCTCCAACGGGTGCCGCGGACCCGCTGGAGCCTGCTCGCAGATTCACGGAGGATGGGAACGGAGAAGGCGAGGCGCAGGAGAGTGAATACAGGAGTCGGCTGAGGATTAGAAGGGGAATCAAAACTGATGATGCTATAAGTGTAGCTTTGACAATCGTTGGGTACGAAAGAATCGACTAGCTCCTAACTAGGACTAGAACGGATCAGCACAGGGGAGGAGACGAGCAGCGCTACGACCTTTTCAGAAAGCGGTCTCCGGCGAGGCGCTTGCTTCTGGTTCTGCGATTGCTTCTTTGTCTCCTTCTGCTCTTGATCTGCCGCCTTCACCGTCGATCCAGACTTACTAGATAGGAGTATCTGCAGAAGACCAAAAACTACGACGATCGCTACGGCTACCCAGACTCGAGGATCTTGGAGCAAATCCATGGTGGCAGATTCAAGGACCACTGAACCAACGAAGTTGAGAAGATATGCACGAAGGAATTGGAGTGTTTCTAGATTTGGTGTTGACGGGGTTGCTTGGGTTTGTAACTTTTGCGAGATCAGGAATACGTTGACTCATCTTTACCGATGTGCGTTACATCGCTGGGGGCGATTTTTTGCATTCGCGCAAAAGCGTAGCGCTTTCGCGCGCAAAAGTCGTGGCTGACAAATGCCTGACGGATGACGGAAACCGTCAGTGTCGTGCTTTCAGCCGCAACCCCAATTGCTGTCACGTGGCGTGCTTCAGTCGGACCCAAACCAAACCCGTCTTGGGATTGCCGAATCACCACAAAAAGCAGCAGCAGCAGCAGCAGCAATGCCGCATCCACGGCACGCTCTCGATTCGTTCGTCCATGGCTCCCCCCGCAGCACCTCTTGTAGTCCAGGTCAACATCGTGCGTTTTCTAATTAACGAGACCCTACCGTCCGAGCGCTAGGCTTTCAGAGTTGCTGGATCGAGCGTTTGAGCCAACGCGATATTTCCGCGTTTGGTCAGCATGTCGCCTGGAGACGTCCAGGCGTGCGATTTAGCGCAACGGCTAGAGCAGCAATGGGACGCGGCTCGGCAGCTCGCGTCAGACATCCAAACCGCCGTTGCCGGTTTTCTTGTCGCGTCCGTCCAACCACCCTCCCTGGTCGATCTCGGTCGCCAGTCATTCACAGCCGTCGATCGCGACTGCGATGCGACCTCTGATCGCGACGAAGAACGCGCCGGGAGGGACGATCGAAGGCACGATGATGGAGCGAGGTCACGGGAGGCGTTCATGGCGCGGCTACGTGGCTTTCGATGGCACGCGCAGGTTATCCGCCAGCAAAGCATTGTGCTGGCTGACGTCACCTTTCATCTATGCGACGTCCTCGAAGCTTCGTGCTCCTTAACTGCCGAAGAGCTTTCTCGGCTGGCAGGCGCGGTGCCGGCGTCGCATCTCGACGAGGCTTCCTCGAACCTTCCCTCTGAGCTCGACTCCCCTCCCCCGCTGATCAGCAGCACATTCACAGAGGCAGCAGCGGAGCAGGCGGCGCATGGGGAAGACGCGGGTGCGCGCAAGACGGTATCAGGGTCGGGAGAAGGCGGCTGGTCGGGGGATACACGAGAAGGCGGCTGGTCGGGGGATACACGAGAAGGCGACTGGGACGAGCGGGACGCAGGCGTGGCGGCGCCGGTCAGGACGGAGTCTGAGGAAACGGCGCAAGGCGAGGATCTGACGCCTTCAGTAACAACTCACCTAGGCAGGCGCCTTCAGTAACAACTCACCTAGACAGGCGCCTTCAGTAACAACTCACCTAGGCAGGCGCCTTCAGTAACAACTCACCTAGGCAGGTGCCTTCTGTATCAACTTACCTAGGCAGGCGCCTTCAGTAACAACTCACCTAGGCAGGCGCCTTCAGTAACAACTCACCTAGGCAGGCGCCTTCAGTAACAACTCACCTAGGCAGGCGCCTTCAGTAACAACTCACCTAGGCAGGTGCCTTCAGTATCAACTCACCTAGGCAGGCGCCTTCGGTAACAACTCACCTAGGCAGGCGCCTTCAGTAACAACTCACCCAGGCAGGCGCCTTCAGTAACAACTCACTCAGGCAGGCGCCTTCAGTAACAACTCATCTAGGAAGGCGCCTTCAGTAACAACTCACCCAGGCAGGCGCCTTCAGTAACAACTCACCTAGGCAGGCGCCTTCCGTAACAACTCACCTAGGCAGGCGCCTTCAGTAACAACTCACCTAGGCAGGCGCGTTCAGTAACAACTCACCTAGGCAAGCGCCTTCAGTAACAACTCACCTAGGCAGGCGCGTTCAGTAACAACTCACCTAGGCAGGCGCCTTCAGTAACAACTCACCTAGGCAGGCGCCTTCAGTAACAACTCACCCAAGCAGGCGCCTTCAGTAACAACTCACCCAGGCAGGCGCCTTCAGTAACAACTCACCTAGGAAGGCGCCTTCAGTAACAACTCACCCAGGCAGGCGCCTTCAGTAACAACTCACCTAGGCAGGCGTCTTCAGTAACAACTCACCTAGGCAGGCGCCTTCAGTAACAACTCACCTAGGCAGGCGCCTTCAGTGTTAACTCACCTAGGCAGGCGCCTTCAGTAACAACTCACCCAGGTAGGCGCCTTCAGTAACAACTCACCCAGGCAGGCGCCTTCAGTAACAACTCACCCAGGCAGGCGCCTTCAGTAACAACTCACCTACGCAGGCGCCTTCAGTAACAACTCACCTACGCTGGCGCCTTCAGTAACAACTCACCTATGCAGGCGCCTTCAGTAACAACTCACCTAGGCAGGCGCCTTCAGTAACAACTCACCTAGGCAGGCGCCTTCAGTAACAACTCACCTAGGCAGGCGCCTTCAGTAACAACTCACCTAGGCAGGCGCCTTCAGTAACAACTCACCTAGGCAGGTGCCTTCAGTAACAACTCACCCAGGCAGGCGCCTTCAGTAACAACTCACCCAGGCAGGCGCCTTCAGTAACAACTCACCTAGGCAGGCGCCTTCAGTAACAACTCACCTAGGCAGGCGCCTTCAGTAACAACTCACCTAGGCAGGAGCGCGACGAGCTGCGCAAGGCGCTGCTGGAGCACCTCACTCTGCTGCGCCTGGAGGAGGCGCGCGCGGAGTGGGCGGAGCGGGGGGAGAGCGAGTGGGGGGATGGCGCATGGGAGATGGAAGGGGACAGGGACACGGGTGGGGGACAGAGTGGGGGAGAAGCGCATGCGGAGGAGAGGGAGGGGGAGGGCGGATGGGGGGAGGAGGAGGCGCTGATGGCGCAGGCAAGGGCTGCTGCGGAGGCTTCGCGCGCTGCTGCTAGGGCGAGGCGTGGGGGAGAGGAAGAGAGGGGGGAAGCGGAAGGAGGGATGGGAGGAGTAGCTGATTGGGTGGGAGAGGTGGGAGGCAGCCCACCGACTTTGCAACAGGGGGCGCCTCGCAGATTGGGAGGAGGAAGGGATGTTAGGGGCAGAGAGAGCATGACGAATGGGGGGATGAGTGCAGCCGTGAGTGTGGCAGAGGCTGTAGCTGACGTGGCACTGATGGTGGAGCAGGAGTTGGAGCGAGACAGGGGGCGAGAGCAGGAGGCGGTGCTGCTGGTGGGTGGGGTCACAAGCCCTCCTGGAGTGCACCGAGCCGTGCCGGCCTCATGGCAACAGCCATGGTGGCTGTCACCTGCTCCTCCACCTGCTGCTGCTGCTGCTGTTTCTGCCTCTGCTACTGGTTGGCATGCATCGACTGGCATGAACGGTGTCAAGGGCGATGGCGTGCCAATCAAGCGAGCAGCAGGGGCAGGTGGGGTCATCATGGAGAGACGAGCTGGGGGATTTGCCGAGTTCAGTGGGCGAAGTGGGGTAGGCTTTGCTGCGTTTGCTGGCAACGGGGCGGGTGGTGAGCAGCAGGGTGGTGGCAAGGCAGCTGGCAGGCAGCAGGCAGGCGCAGGTGAAGAGATCCTTGTGGACACCACGGGGAACGCAGGCAACGCAGGGCCAGGTTTCAAGTTTGACAATCCTATACATGCTGGAAAGCCATTATCGCCACTCTTCACACTAATGAGAAGGTAGTGCCCACTGGTGCAGCACTGCTGGCTGGCATCTGCACACAAGCCTCATCTACACAATAACTGCACGGAACGGACTGTACCCTAGACTTCAGAACCCTAGACATCAGATGTACGAATAAGCACCTGTAGGCAGGCACCACCACCAATTCCACATTCATTTTATTGAGCTTCATTAAATATATAACACCCTCATCTAGAGGGATGGTGGTGATATCGATTCTGCAACACAAGGCAATGTGGCAAGGAATGTACGGTAAGAGCCATGCCAAAGCTAGATTCTAAAAACTGGATGGGTCACTGCGCTGCTCCCACGTACGCTCACATGGGCACGTCAAATGTGTGCTCACATGCACATGCGACATGCATTATCTCAAAACAAAGGGATGCTGCATGCATGTGCGAGGTTCAAAGGAACTTGGCGAGGTTGTCTTTAAGGTCCTCAATCTTGGCGCCTGTGTGGCTGTGCACCAGCTCGCCCCCGCGGAAGAAGCGGAAGTTGGGCACCGCCCGCACGCCCCACTCGCGCATCAGTGCCTGCTCCGGAGGAAAAAGGGGTTACAGAGGGTTGCATTCAGGGGAAAGTGCAGGGGGGCACATTTCCAGTCGCATTGGAGCCAGTGAAAGGGAACTGGGAGCGATTACTGGCTGCACCTGGGGAGACTGAGAAACCAAAGTGTTAAGAGACTGACACAGGGGATACAGGAGACAGGTTGAGAGGAAACGTGGTGGTTGAGAGGAGGCGGTGGAGGGGGGGACCTTGGTGCTGTCGTCGTGGTCGCCGTTGATCTTGAGGAAGACGGCGTTGGGGTGCTCCAGGCTGAGCTCCACGACCTTGGGGAAGATGAACTTGCACGGCCCGCACGTCCGCGTCGAAATGTCCAGCACCACCTGCGCGCCAAGCCGCGACGGGTTTGCCATGGAATGGGGCCGTTGGTTAAGCAGGATACGTCATTTACTGGTTTGAGGTTTGTGCGCGATGCGGTTTTTGACCTTATAGATACAGGGAATGTGTATTCTGGGTTCTTCAGCGCGCTGAATGTGATACTAAGCAAAGTGAAGTAATGCCGGTTGTAATCCCCGTGGTGTCAGTGCAATGATGCCAATGCGTGTGTCTCCTAAGTGCGTAGCATGTCTCAAGTCACGTCAAACGCATCTCAAGAAGCAGGAGGCAGAAACTACTCACCAGCTTATCGCCAGCCTTGGCAACTTGATCGTTGAACTCCTCTCCTGCTCAATCAAGCGTTATCACAACGTCAGCAATTACTGTTCACGCCTTTTAAGTCACGGCAAGCAACGACGTCAGCAACTCACGGCTCGTAATTTCCACGACGTTGCCATATCCATTGGGCCCGAGCGGCTCGAGATCGGCCGCTGAGAGCGACGCGGAGCAGCGCAACGTTTGACGGCGAGCAATGCGCGGAAACGACGCCGGGGCGACCAGTCTGACTGTCCTCCGCATGGGAAGGGCGGCGCGGCTCTGTGCTAGTTGAGGAGCCGCGACCAGCGAGCTGCGGATTGCCAAAGCATCCATGTCTGCTCTGATTTGACGAGGCGAGGCGGAGCAGTGGGATTGCTAGGAGCAGTGGGATTGCGACGAACTAGCTATAGTGCTGGTGAATTGGAGGAATAATGAGCTGCGATGGCTAATCAATGGCTGGTTGCTCTAGTGCTGCTGTGGTGAATGTGACGTCCAATTGCGCGACGTACATTCCCCCGATGGTAACGCGTACTAGTTCGCAACGAAGAATGTGGCGGTGGAATTGTGTGGAAGTTGAGGGCTCGTGATCTGTCAGCGACGGGATTAACGAAGATTGCGAAGGATGAGCTGTCCACACTGTTTCCACCAACCAGCCGCTTGGCAGAATTCCACGTGGCGGGCAGAGCCCAGGGACAAACACGGAGCACAAACCACGAGACGACCAGCTGGAACGTGAGGTCCCATGGAATATTGATATTGTACAGTTGCAACGCTCTAATGAGTTTTTGTACTAGCACGTGTAACTTCTGCAACAGAAATTATCTAACGAATTTACATTTCAGCTTCTATCAGCTCTTCAATGGCACTTCCAAATCCAGGAAGCATCAAACCACAACCTCCAGGAACAGTGTCTAATGTCTCAGTAACCACCTCGTGACCTTGCCTTCTGCATACGTTCCAATGCCCTATCACCTTACCGCGGGCACTCGAATCAGTACTCACATCCTCCTTTGAGCAGTCCACGTTGGAAGATTCCTGGCATTGGTGTATGTCTAGGCAAAAGAGCTCTCCGTGACAGGACACGATCCAAAGTGACGACCGGGGAGCTCCATGTGGAACCTGCAGCGACCGGGACTCGTCGCCGTAACACTCAGAACGAGGGCCAAGATTAGGCTCCGAGTGGAATGGTGGGATCCATGTGCCACAGTAAGAGACTAAGCCACTACTCCCTGCAGCGCAAGTGCATGGCTGAGGCGGCACACTCGCACTGCATCCATTCCCTTCCAATCTCTCCGTTCCTTCACTTCCACCAGAATCAGAGTCAACTGTAGACTCCTCCCGGTGTGCCCGCTGTGCGAAGCTGATAGCAGCAGCAGTACTTGCGAATGCACGTCTGCTCACAGCAGCAGTGAGTGCAGCACCCACACCCTCCATTGTCCCCACAACACCTGCAGCACCAGTACGGCCCACCGTCAGCCCCCACAGGCTGAGCATGGTACCTCTGATGCGCATGCGGGGAGCGAGCGTGGGAACAGCCAGGGGTGCTTCCAGGGAGAGGCCAAGGAGGCGCGGCATGGAGAGGGCGCAGCAGGATGGCCGGTTGTGAGGCAGTGAGAAGCGAGGGGTGGGAGGTGGGTGAACGGGGGAGTGAAGCGTGAAAGGTAAGACAGGAGCCGGCGATGCGTGGGGAGAACGTGTGTTGCTGGTGGGGGAGAGAGGAGGGGAGGGGAGGTGGAGCGAGGAAGTGGGAGAGGAGGCCTGGCCGGCTGGCTGCTCGAGAGCGGGCGAGGGAGGCGAGGCGAAGGGGTGGATGTGGAAGAGGTGCGAGGTGCCATGGGCGGAGAGCAGCGCGAGCAGAGAGGAGTCGGGGGAGAAGGCAATGGCTCGAGGGACCTGCTCCGTGCAGGGAGGGGGGAGGGGAGAGGCACAGGGACAACCAAGGGCACTCAATTCGCAACAACAGACAGGTTCAAGTCGTAAGGGCCTTTTTCTATTGCAAGAATTTTGCGCTACACCATGCCGTCAGTATAAAATATCGTCCTCATTGCCCCAGCAACTCCAGAACCCAATGTGACTCACCGAGTGTGTGAGCCCACGCTGTAGCCGGTACAGCAACACTGCCCCCCCTTCCCCTGCTGTCGACCCGTCCCCCCACCGCTGCTGCCGCTGCTGTTGCTGCTCGTGCTGCTGCTGCCACCCGCTGGAGCGGCCATCTATGCGCCACACGCCCACCGTGGTGCCGTGCAGAGAGGCTGCCGCCAGGAGCACGCCCAGCAGGTCAAACTGCAGCAGAGCGAGCGGTGACGCTTCGAGGGCGGGGAAGCATGCGATTGGCTGGCGGGAGACAAGGTCATGCACCATGATGTGGGGATGAGAGGGGGAAAGCACTGGCGCGGGGCGAACAGGGGAGATCGTGGAGTGGAGGAGGGTGGGGGCGCGTGGTGGCGAGGAGGGAGTGTGCGGGGCAGCGTAGGCGAGCCAGCGCGGGCCCAGAGCTAGAGGAATGGAGGGCGGTGGGAAACTGATGGATTCTGGAGTCGACGCGGACGCGGAGGGGTGTGAGGATGCTGGTGTGGGGAGGGTCGTGGAGTGCCCATGTGAGGAATGATCGGCATGAGATGGAGGGAGGAGGGCGTGAGGGATGGGGTGCGTGAGGAGGGAGAAGGTGGGGGTGAGGGTGGTGGGGCTGAAGCAGAAGAGCTGCTCCCGCTGCACCACCACTATCGCCCTGCCACTCGCCCGCACGCCCACCACCGGCCCCTCCACCTCCACACTGCCCACCATGGCATGCTGTCGCAGTGAGTACAGCGCCACTCGCGTCACTCCCGCCACTCGTGTATTCATACCACCACTGCGTGCAGCGCTCCCTGTTACGTTCCCTCTGCTTGAGTGTACCACTCCGTTGCATCTCCCACACCCTCCTGCACCGCCCTCCTGCTTGCTTCCCTGTCCTGCTGCCTGTTCTTCCCTACTTTCCATACACAGCTGCACCCCCTCTGACGCGTCTGCCCGCACCTCCTTTAGCTCACAACCCTCCTCGTCCCCTTGTGCGTCTTCACCACTCCCCTGCTGCACCCGCTCCAAGTCGAAACCACCGCTGCCACTCACTTCTCCCCTCACTCCTCTGCAATACTCCCACTCACACTCCCCTAGCATCCACCCCCCGCCCTCCCCCCTCACTCCACCACTCACTGCCTCGTCATCCACCCTCTCCACTTCACCCCCTGTTGCCTCATCCCTGCATGCGTGCTCGCTGCACGCACATTCGGTAGTGGAATGGTCGCTGGCAGCAGGGAAGACGACGCACACGAGGGGCCGGCACGCTGCAAACCTGTCGCATTCCCCGGCGCTGTCATCCCTCTCGTCGTCGCCCGTGGATTCTTGGGTGCGTGGCGGCGAGGGCATGGCAGGATGCGGCATGGTGGGGTGTGGCAGGGCGCACAGCATGGACACGAGCTCGCCCCGCCACGATACCAGCTGAGAGGGTGCCGGCACTGCAGCACTACCGCTGCTGCTGTTGCTGCTGCGGCTGTCCCCCTTGGCATTGGCGCAGCTGCTGGCAGCGGGGGTGCGGGGAGGGGAGGCGGCGTGCAGGTCCCACACGTGGAAGCCGGTGGTGTATGCGACGAGCAGCACGTGCCGCCGCGACGAGCGGCTCATGTGCAGCCAGTCGAAGCCCACCCACACCACCTGCCACACGCCACCATGGAGAAACGACCGTCAGCATACCATCAGCATAACCGTAGCGAACTCACTGCTAGACACAATACCAATTTCACTGATGGCCCGTGACTGGCGATTTGAAGTTTGAAAAATCCACCTGTACAAAAGCTTAACCGGCGCGTCACGCATCTCGTCCTTCGCTTCGAATCTAGCCTTCACCGCCTTTGCTGCCTTGACGACCGTCGACACCGTCGCACCGGCTAGATTCATCGCCGTCTCCATGGCCGGTCGCTCTTAATTTGCAACCGAGAAGCGACACGCTATTAGCCACCACCATCCCACATCGCTGCTCGCAGATCTCGTTCAAGTTTACTTGCTAGTACTCTCTGCCTTGCACCTACTACTTTGTCGCCCATCACCACCACCAGTCCGGCGCATCCACGAATCTGCATGTCGCCTCACTCAGAAAATCCTGCTCACACTCTTATCAACGTACTAGCGTGAATTCTGGAATCCTACGTCAGCATGCAACAATGGACGCTGTGAAATTCCTCCCTATAGCTGTCGCTTGGGCGACAAGTGAACTCTGTCCATCGAAACTGAGCGACATCGAACCGTACGAAAATATCGAGGTCTCAGTCTTGCAAAGCGCGTGCAGTGATTGGCTTGCGTGGCGTGCGATGCCCCTCGCGACAGCTCTCTGGTTGGTTCACTTCGCGCCGAGTTGCGTCAACTGTACGCTTCGCCTCCGTCCACCAGCTGTATAATTCATATGAAAATCCAGTCAACAGTATTCAATTCTGCATAACAAATAATGCACAATGTGTGAGAACACTAAGATTGCTTCTCACCCTCTCTAAGCTTAATTTGTTGGCTTGGGACCAAAGGATCTGGTCCTCTGAGCCGCCTGTCTCTAGACTCTTGAAAATCAGGTGCAACCCCTAAGCTGGAGGAAGCTGTTGAAGTGAAGGGCCAGGAAGGCGACAGTGCCACAACCTGGCCGATGACAATGAGCGTGGGTGACACGAGTTGGGCCGCTGACACGGCTGCTGGCAGATCCTCCAGAGTGGCAAACACCTGCAACCCACAAGAAAGAAGCACATAAATGTGTACGATGTAATGCATGTGATGCATGGCAAAGCACCCCTTCCGCCTGTGCATGTCCCTCCTCATGCCACCATTCAAGCGTACAACCACAGCAGCAAGCAATCAACCACACCACCATGCCATGCCATCACATCACATGACTCACAGTGCGCTGAGCAGCGGTGGTGCCTCGCTCCACCGCCACAGCGGGGGTGTCAGCCGGCAGCCCATTGGCCAGCAGGCGGGCGGCAAGGCTGGGCAGCGTGGCGAGCCCCATGTAGACCACGAGGGTGGCGTCGGGGTCCGCCGCTGTGCTGGCCGCGTACAGCGGGTCGCCACCTCCCTTGCGCTTGTGCCCCGTTAGGAACCGCACACTGCAGCACAGGAGGCAAGGGGGACACGGGGAAGGCCAGGAAGGCTTGAAGCGTGGAATGGAGGGATGTGACCAGCTGGAACAGCAGGAGCAGAGGGGCATGAAAGGCAGCATGTGGGTGGGCACAGAGCAGCCGCAAGCCAGGGCGAGGCACTGACCTGTTGGCGACGCCGCGGTGGGTGAGAGGCACGCCGGGGTCAGCAGCAATGCCGGAGGCGGCGGTGATGCCGGGGACGATCTGCACGCGGATGCCGTGCGCCTGCAGGTGCTCCATCTCCTCGCCGCCCCGCCCGAACACCAGCGGGTCGCCGCCCTTGAGGCGCACCACCACGGCGCCCGCCTCCGCGAAGGCGAGCAGCAGGTGCAGGATCTCCGCCTGCGTGCGCGTGTGGTACCCCGCCGCCTTCCCCACGTATAGCAGCCGCGCGCCCGGCGCCGCCAGGCGCAGAATGGCGGGCGAGACGAGGCGGTCGTAGAGCACGAGGTCCGCGGACTGCAGCGCGCGCACCGCCTTCACTGTAGGGAGGGCGGGGGGTGTGAGGGGGCAGCGGAGGAGTGGGGAGGAACGCATGAGTTGAAATGCGGAAGAGACAGGGGGTGGGGCTGCGGCAAGGTGGATGAGTCACGGCTGAGGATGCAGGGCAGCACGAGCGAAGCGGGGTAGAGGAGGGGTGGTGAGGGTAGGGAAGAGGGCGTGAGGGAGGGAGAGGGGGTGGGAGGTGGGGGGGAAGGAAAGGGCGGTTGGGGAACTGACGAGTGAGCAGGTCGGGGTCGCCAGGCCCGGTGCCCACCAGAAACACATTCCCAGGGCCCTCGCCGCGGGGTCCCCCCTCCGCTTGCTCCCGCCCCTGCTGCTGCGCCTTGGCCCGCAGCAGCTCCAGCATTTCGCGCAGCTCGGGCAGGCGATCCGCGATGTCCACCTCGGGAATGTCGTCCGCGTCGTCCTCGCCGCCCTCTGAAGCCAAGCTGAGTCGCTCGCTCCAACTCGACTTCCCTTCCGCAGTCCGCTCGGAATATACAGCGAAGCAGGGCTCAGGGTTTATGCCTGATACGTCTGACGTCATCGCTGCGTCAGCGTCAGCGAGCAGCTGCAGCGCGCCGTCCACTCCGGGAAGCACTCGAGATCGGCACTCGTCGGGCGACGACTCCTCCTCGCGGCGTGGCGCTCCTCCGCTGCCGCTCTCGGCGATCCGCCAGTCCCACGGCCGCGCGTCCCTCACCTCCACAAACGGCGACTCGGCGGCGGATTGCGCGCTGCCGATCAGCCATCGGTCGGGACGGGACGGGCTGGATGCGGCGGAGAGGTTGGGGTGGGCATGGGGCTGGCTGCAAGGACTGTGCACAGCTCGAGCTGCCGCCGCTGATGCATTTGCGGATATTCCGCAGAAAGGTTTATTGCCGCGCGGTGCAAAACGAGCTTCCCGGCGCGAGACGCTGTGACTGGCGAGAAAGGCATTGTAGCGCAATGCTCTAGTAGCGATCGCTGCGGGATCGCTGCTAACGACAACGGCCATGGCTTCTGCGGGAACTAACGCTTACTGAAAAGGTCCTCCCGATCCAACAACCGCTGTCGACTAGGATCGTAAGTGGTCAGAGCGTGCATTGCCCACATGTGAAAAACAGATAGCTTTTGTATCGCTGACTGATTTCTGGAGGCGAATGCGTGGCAAGCAAGCAAACAAGGCGAGCCTAGCCCCCTTCGCCTGCTGGTTGCCTCATCCCTCGTTCACCCGTCCTGGACACCACCGTGCGTCCCCCGCCAACGGACCCAGCCACACGCCCCCTGCTGTTCGCTCATCTTCCTCTCAATGGCAGCACCGTCGCTTCTGATCACGGTTGGGATAGCTGTTGCCTGCGTGTAGCGGTAAAGCTGACGCTTTGTGGCTGGCACGGGCAGAAAAAATCGCCTGGCTCCACCAAAAAGCATGTAGCCCTCCCGCAACTGGAAACAGCAGCCTTTCAGATGTCAACCGGTTGAGATCTGAATTTAGCGCCTGTAAATAAGCGCCACGTGGGGGTGTTCCACGAACTCGGCTCAATTTGATGGGAGCGGAAACTCTTGTTTTACCGTATCTGTAATTGTACATTCCTTAATGCTACCAAAGGTAAGGAGCCATGAACATTGTGGAGTCGTCGTGTATCGGGTGATACACGTGTCCCTCAAATTCCAGCTGTCAACAATCTAAGCGCCCTGAAGATTGAGCAACAATCCCTGTGATCATCTCGAGAGTCTCTGTCTTGTACAGTATCTTGCTCGCTCGCGGCATTCTCGAGAATTCGCCCTTCTCTGGGCTCGTCTGCTGGCCTCGAACTGGGTCGCTGCATTCTTGGTGCTTCTTCCTGCAACCATCTCCGCTCAACCAGCTCATTCACCAATTTTCCCAGGCACGTTTCCTTGCGTGCTTTGTCAGCCACGACCCGATTCCGCTGACATTACTCGTGGAAGGCCGTTATTTGTTGTAAATACATTGTCCTTAGCCAACAAGTCGAGGCGTCAGCGATGGCGGCACTTCTGCAGAGCCTTGAGGTGCCTGTCGCATCCTTGAGGGCACCCCAACCACTCCAGAAGAATCAACGGCTCTCGTCACTCGCTAGCATCTCCCTCCAGTCTTCCAGATCACTCACATCCTCACTGACCGTCAAATTCCATGTGTCCACAAAGAATCCTAGAAATTCCGGCCGAGTAGCGTGCCGGGCAGCAGCGGGCGAGAGCGGCGCGAAGAAGGCGAGTTTGAGCGAGCGGCGACCGGAGGAGGTGAATGTGGTGGTGGTGGGCCCCACGGGGTACATCGGCCAGTTCGTCACGCGCGAACTCATCAAGCGCGGCTACAACGTCACCGCAGGTGCGCGCGCGACCTCAGGTTAACCCATGATACAGCAGCTAAACGTCGAATTTTGAAGTGCATCAAATTTTGCGCCCGCGCTTAGGATTTCACATAATATTCCAGAGAATGTAGTTTAGTTTTCAACTCTCCCTCGTAGTCCGCCCATGACACGCGTTCTGTGCGGCATGCGGTGGTGGTCGCAGTGGCGCGCGAGCGGAGCGGCATTGGCGGGAAGAAGTCGGCGGAGGATACGGCGAAGGAGCTGGAGGGCGCGACGATGCTGTTCGCGGACGTGACGAGCGAGGAGGCGCTCTCGAAAGCGCTGGCCGGCAAGGACGTCGACGTCGTCGTGTCGTGCCTCGCCAGCCGCACCGGCGGCATCAAGGTGAGCCACAGCAGCCGCGAGGAGGTCCGCGAGAAGGACGGAAGCGAGGGGGAGATGAAGGGGACCCGGTGTGCGCACGCCTGCCAACTTGTGCGCAAAACATACAAGATGAAACGCAACTGTTTTTATCCTCAAAATCGAATGGTTTGGGTGGTGCGTGTGTGCGGCACGTGTTTGACGAGTGCAGGACTCGTGGCTGATCGACTACACGGCGACGAAGAACAGCCTCGAGGCCGGCAAGAAGGCGGGCGCCTCCCACTTCGTGCTGCTCTCAGGTGCGCCTGACTGCCGTGCGCGCTGCTGCTTCCTGCTGCTGCTGATCTTGCAACCACGTACTCACATTCCCTCCCTGTGCTTGCGCCCTGTCTGCGCCCGTGTGTGTGCGCAGCCATCTGCGTGCAGCGGCCGCTGCTGGAGTTTCAGCGCGCGAAGCTCAAGTTTGAGGACGACCTGCAGGCCGACCCCGCCGTCACGCACAGCATCGTCCGCCCCACCGCCTTTTTCAAGTCGCTCGGCGGCCAGGTGCGATGCGGTGGGATGCGGTGAGATGTAAGTCAGGTCAGGTGTAGCGTGTACCTTGTGAGATGATCGCATTCCCAAAAGACTCAAAAGGTCGTTGTCGTTGGAGTGAGGCATGGCATGCAGGAGTGAGGCATGCAGGGCACGAGCTGATTAAGGGGGGATAACAAGTTGCTGATTGTGCAGTCAAAATGATGCTCGGGCCCCATGCTACGTATGGGCATGAATCTATGTGTGTGTGTGCGTGTGTGGTGGCAGGTGGAGAGTGTGAAGGGGGGCGGGCCGTACGTGATGTTTGGCGACGGGCAGCTGTGTGCGTGCAAGCCCATCAGTGAGGCTGACCTCGCTGCCTTCATTGCCGACTGCGTGCAAGGTGAGACACGCACACACGTGTTCTGTCGTGCCACTCACAACCTGCAAGAGATGAACGCACACACACGGAACAAAAGTCAACTCAAAAGATGCACCAGCCGTACCCAAGACAAGGAACACTTGGCATTATTGTCACCATGCTGCCTTCATTGCCGACTGTGTGCAAGGTGAGTGAGGCACGGCGCTGTCCCCCGTGCTGTCGTGCCACTCACAACATGATACGTCATAGAGATGAACGCACACACAAGGTCAAATTCATGTAGAACATTCATCAAATATCCCCAACAGAAGGGAAACATGGGCATAACCATCCCCGTGCCTCGCCACCCTCTCCACCACATGCCCGTCCCCGTGTTCCGTCCGCCCTGCCAGGCGAGGACAAGGTGAACAAGGTGCTGCCCATCGGCGGGCCAGGGGAGGCGCTGACCCCCCTGCAGCAGGGGGAGATGCTATTTCAAGTGGTGGGCAAGGAGCCCAAGTTCATCAAGGTGCCCATCGCCGTCATGGACTTTGTCATCGGTATCCTTGACGTGCTCGCCAAGCCCTTCCCCTCGCTGGCGGACGCGGCCGAGTTTGGCAAGATTGGGCGGTACTACGCGGCGGAGAGCATGCTCGTGTGGGACGAGCAACAGCAGCGGTACGATGCGGACGCCACGCCCAGCTATGGCAGCGACACGCTGAGAGAGTTCTTTGAGAAGGTGGTGCGCGATGGCATGCAGGGGCAGGAGCTGGGCGACCAGGCCGTGTTCAAATGATGGGGCGACCAGGCTGCACTGCGTAGTGTGGGTGAATGATTTTATGTATCGTTTAATAATAAACTGGGAATCCATTACCATGACTGAGCTCAAAGGTGACTGTAAGGGATGAGGTGTGGGATGCAGGTGGTTGGTAGCAAAGCGTGTGGAGGCCTGGAGTGCTGGCTGGGAGCACAGGAAGCTGGTCAGCAGTTTACACCTTGCAGCACACATGCCCGTAGGAGCAGGGCGTGCTTTAACATGTGATGAGAGCTGAGCCGAAAGCCAGCTGCTCCGCCATACACTCTTTCACACCTTGTACACGTGTGGGAATGAGGAGGCGACCAGGCTGCACCTAGGGATGAGGTGCGGAGTGCAGGTGGTTGGTACCACATCAAGGGACGTGGAGGAGAGGAAGGCTGGGAGCACAGGAAGGTGGTCAGCAGTTCACACCCTGCAGCACACGGAGGGTAGGTGCCCATAGGAGCAGCGCGTGCTTCAGCTTGTGATGTGAGCTGAGCAAAAAACCAGCTGCTCCCCCATGCACTGGTTCTTGCACCTTTTACATGTACGACAGAGCAACTTTGTTTAGAAGTCAGTAACAGTACAAGAATGAAATGTACAACTAGCGGCCTAAACATAGTTCCTATCCTAAGCCTTCCTAAGCAGACAAGGCACCTAGAGCCTTGTTGGCGCCACCACTGGTCCCAGCAGCACGCATGCTTCAGAGCTACCTCTACGTCCCTGAAAGTTATAAGCTATGTCAACATTCCACAGTGGGTTATGTTCCCCCGTACGTGGCATGTGGGCCAATGCTGACTGCTCCCCCCACGTCACATGATGGTTGACATGACGGCCGCGTGGGGCAGCACCTTCCCCACAAAGACGTACGCCCCTCCACCCAGCAGCAGGGCGCCACTGGCAGGGTTGATCCACCCTGAGTACCGACGGACGGCTGAGATCTGTTTGAGCGCGCCCGTGCACGAGGCGGCCAGCAGCAGCGGCGTGGCGAAGCCCATCGTGTAGCTCAGCAGCAGTGCGCCACCCGTTGCTGCGTCCTGCAGGGCGGGGAGGCGGAGTGGACAGAAGAGAAGGGGGGAGGGACTTGTAAGTAGGGCAAGGGGGCGCGCAAGGAAGCAAGCAGCGGATGGAGGGTGCTCGTGGGTGTGCCTTACCAAGGGCTTGCCTTCTTCCTCTGTTTGTTTGCTGTAAGCATACACGTCCCACCAACCCACAAGGCAGGGTGAGCAGGTTATACTCATACTTCCCCTCCCTCCTTCCCCCTCCCACCGACTCACCCTGGTGGACGCGACGAACGCGAGCAGCGAGGCGAGCACGGGCGTGCAGCAGGGCGCCGCCACGAACGCGAAGGCCGCTCCGCCCGCCGCCATCTGCAGCGCCACGGGCACCCTCCCGCCCACCGCCGCGGGGCTGAACCGCGCCGCCACAGGCGCGGGCAGGCGAACGGGCAGCAGGCCGAGCAGGTGCAGCCCCGCCAGCATGGCCACCAGCGACACGGCGGCCGGCAGCGCGCTGCCCACGTCGCCCACGGCGTGTTGGCCAGCGAGAGCGGCGGCGACGCCCATGGCGGTGCGCGTGGCGGCGAGGCCGAGCGTGAAGAAAAAGCAGTTGACCGGCACGCTGGCGGCGCGCGCGGACGGCGCGTCGGGGAGTGGTGGGGGGGAGTCGTCGGCGGAGCAGCAACAAGGCGGGGGAGAGGAGGGGGAGGCGGATGCGGATTGGGGCGGCGAGGGGGCGGGCGGGGGGGAGTCGAATCCGGCGATGAAGCCGACGGTGAGCGGCAGCAGGCTGAGCGTGCACGGCGCGAAGCTCGTGAGCAGCCCTGCGACGTAGATGATCGCGAGAGTCGCGGGCGACAAGGCAGCAAGGTCGTGCGACTCCGCCAGGTGGCTTGCGAGGTAGAGAAACTCGTCCACGCTGTCTTGGAGAGCGAACGCAACGTCTTGCCACGTGTCCATTGCTGATTCGAAGTCGATATTGGGAAAAATGTTGAAAATGGTTGATAAGTCGGGCAGCGAGGCGAGGAAGAATTGACTCGATGATGACGTGGCAATCATGTGATCCGCGGCGAGCGAGTCAACCGCGTGTTGCGACTCGGAAATGAGGGCGACAGCAGCTGCGGGTGACGTCATAATGAGAGGAAGTAGGGCGGCGGGCAGAAGCGGCACGGGAATTGATCGGCGCGGCGTGTCTGCAGCCGTCGTGCGACTCGCGGCGCCTTGAGAGCTCGAGCTGCGTCCAGACTCCGGTCTCCGCGATTCATGTTCACACGGCACACGCTGTTGCGGAAGTGATGCTAGTGCGACGCTCAGGTGGCGACGACTCGTTGCCTGAGCGCGCCGAGGCTGGATTCCGGCATGCCCGCAAGTGTTTGGGAGACATGGTTGCGCAATGCGCGCTGGTTTGAGTGCGGAAAGAACGGCCATGGACGTTAAATGTGCTTTGTCATGGTACAAGAAAACGAGGCCTGAAGTGCAGGGATAAAGGCAATTGCCAAGGTGTATGTGCACGCATTGAGCTGGCATGACTTTACGACCTGGTTCTTATAAATACGTAAGTGGGGGGGGGGGGAATAGGCTGCGTCTCGAGCGCCCTGGTACGAACGAAACGTACGCGGGAGGTGGTCAGTCAATTCGACGAGTGTAGATCAACGTGTGTCGCCAGCATCGCAGGTGGGCGGGGGTCGTCGCCAGAATGTGTAATCCGCCAGGTGTCGCCAACGACCCCTCGCTCAGCCCCCCCCCTGACGACCATACAGGGCGTAGTACGACGCGAAGCGAAGGCGTACGAGACCAGCTTCGTCGCCCAGTCGTACGAGTTTGCTGTGGCGCAACTGGCATGGATTTTTCCCTGCAATAGCAGAAGCGTACGTTCCTCGGGGCTCGTGGTGCTGGCGACGCGTGTCTTGTCGAGGTGTACGAGGCGCAAGTCAGATCCGTGTCGGGACGTCCACTTGGGATTCACGTTTCACGACTCACGGGCTGTACAGTACGATCCGACATGCGATGACGTGTCTATCCCACCATGCGACGAGCACTCTCACTCACCCATTCACTCGTAAGTGTCATGCTTTAATAGAGTTCGCCACTGTTACAAAACCAATGGATAGTTGGCTAGAACACCAAAGCCACCTTTTATGCACACACAACACATCACAACCACAATCCCAACAAAACAATGTCAGTCAATTTTAGCAAGAGATAAAGGAACCTTGAGCTCTTTATCAAAGTCAACGGTTCTGACCCAATAAGCTTGGCTGCGTGCCAGCTTGCGTGGCCATAGGAGGCCCGGACAAAAATGGGTCCATTTGGGAGGCAACCGGAGAATAAAAATAGGTCCGTGCCGCATGCACGGACAAACCTGAGGGGTTGGAGGGGACGCCTGCCATTGCAGTGCCCCACGGGGGTGCATGCCATGCCATCCACGGGTGCATGTGGGGTGGCGGGGTGACGGAAGGCGCCGGGTGCCGGAGAAACGGTGGGGCAGCAGCGGTGGGTGCGTGGTGCTGCAGATATGGGCTGGTGGAGCGCTGCTGCTGTGGCCCTGCTGAGAGCGGCGCAGCAGAGTGGTGCAGAGGAGTGGAAGCGAGATGCATTGGTGCAGTGGCAGGGGCAGATGGGTGGGCGCGTGGGACTGCATGCATGGGCATGGGCATGGGCACCGGCAGAACACCTGGTGCTGCCCCGTGGGGGGTGCTGTGCACTGAAGCAGCGGTGGCAACGGCGGCAGCAGAGGCGGTGGAGGAGGCAGAGGAAGTGGAAGTGGCAGCAGCAGCTGCATGGGCGGAGGGCGGGCAGGCGGTGGGGGCGAGGCTGGAGGCAGAGGGCAGGGCATGCAGGGGGCTCACATGCGGCACGGGGGAGATGGCAGCAGGCAGGGGGTAGTGGTGTGAAGCGCCATGCCCAGGGGGCGCTGCAGGTGCAGCAGGAAGCGGCAGTGCAGCAGAGGCGGGGGGGCGGGAGGGGCCGAAGAGGAGGGGCGAGCGGAAGAGCAGGTTGGCGATGGCACGGTCGATGTGGTTCGTCCCACTCTCCTCCCCACGCGCCACACCTGCCCCCTCTGATGCCGATGCTGCCGCCATACCAGCACCACCAGTCCCTGCTTCCGAGTGACTCCGCCCCTCGTCACTACTCATCCCCGACGATCCTGTCCCCGCCCCCACCCCTGTACCCATCCCTCCCCCTGTCGCTGTCGCTGTCGCTGTCGCTGTTGCTGTCACTGTCGCTGTCACTGTCTCTGTCTCTGTGTCAGTCATTGCTGCTGCCTGCTCGCCCTGCCCTGCATCGCCCCCAGCGGACGGCCTCAAGCCCCCTGTGGCGCTGCTGCTGTGGGTGCCAGCGGCGCCTGCCCCCACTGTGCTGCGCCCCTTGGCGCTCTGTGCCAGCCGCAGCAGCGCCTCGTGGATGAACCTCCGGCTGCTCGCTGCCAGCTGCGCGCACAAGGACGAGGGGGAACAGGAAAGGGGGAGGGGCGAGGGGGGGAAGGAGATGGTGGATGGTTGAGGTCTTGAAAACGAGTAGGGCGAGGATGAGAGTGCAGGACATATAGTCGAGTACAGGGGAGGTTCGGGTGTAGGGGGGTGAGAGAGAGGGGGTGAGAAGCAGCGGGATGCGAAAGCATACATGCAGCAGAGAGTAGGGCGTGTGAAGTGGCAGGAAGCAGGAGGGGCTGACCTTGGCGACGGTGCTCTCCAGCTCGTGCAGAATGGCCGCCTCCATGCCCTCGCCCGCCCCCTCGCCCCCCTGCGCCCCATGCACCGCGCCACTCGCACCACCCTCCCCTGCAGCAGCACACGCGCCTTCACCCCCCACCGCACGCCCCTCCTCATGCCCCTGGATGGCGTGGGCCGTGCCCGCCTCGCCACAGTGTGCCGCCTCACTGCCCTCACTCATGCCACTCGCCTCGCTCTCCTCCCCTGCGTCTGCTGCTGCTCCCCTCTCCTCACTGCTGCCTTGCAACGTCCCACCAGCACCACCAGCAGCAGTAGCAGCAGCAGCAGCAGCAGCCGCCTCATGTGCCTCTGCCAGCCCACATGACATGCCCTCGCCCTCCCCCTCCCCTACCCCACTCCGCTCCTGAGCCTCCAGAATCTCCTCCTTCGGTCTTGCCAGCGATCGCCGCTCTGCTGCGTCAGCACTGCCTACAGCCTCGTCAGCACCATCAACAGGCATGTCAGCACCGCCCACAGCCTCGTCAGCACCGCCCACAGACCCACCAGGAGCAGGCAAATCTGGGCTCTCGAATGCCCCCCTCACAGATCCGCCTGGCGAAGCAGCCGCACACACTTCTGCTGCCGTTGCCGCGGTGCAGCGCGCCTCATCCTCACCCGCTGCTCCATCCCTCCCATCTCGCCTTGCTGCTTCTGCTGCTTCTGCTGCTGCTGCACCTGCTGCTGTTGAGTTTGCTGCTGCCGCTGTGCCTTCAGCCACTCGCGGGGAAGATACGACCCTCTGCCCGCCCCCCTGCTGCTCCACGCCCTCTGTTCCACCACCTGCCCCTCTGCTTATCCGCCCCTCCCCGTTGCCCATATGTCCCTCTTGCCCTCCCTGCCACTCGTCCGCCCTTCCCTGCCTCTTCTGCACGCCAGACAGCTGCCCCTTCTCTTGCTGCTCCTGCTGCTCTTTCTGCCCCTGTTGCTCTTGCCTCTGCTGCTCTTGTTGTTGCTGCTGCTCTTGTTGCTGCTGCTGCTGTTGCTGCTGCTGCTGCTTTTCCTGCACACGTTGCTGTTCCTGGTGCTGTGGCTGGTGCAGTTTTTGCTGCTGCTGTTGCTGCTCCTCCTGCTGCTGCTGCCCCCCCTGCACCTGCTGCCCCTGCTGTCCCTGTTGCTGTTGCTGCCCCTGCCCCTGCTGCCCCTGCTGTCCCTGCTGCTGTCCCTGCTGTCCCTGCTGCTGCCCCTGCTGTCCCTGCTGCTGTCCCTGCTGTCCCTGCTGTCCCTGCTGCTGTTGCTGCTGCAGTTGCAGCAGGTAGCGCTGCTGCTGTCTGGCCCACAGCTGCCGCACGTCCCACTTCATCCGCTCTCCCCCGCTCCCCATCCGCTCTCCCCCGCTCCCCATCCGCTCTCCACCCATTCTGCCAGCCTGCCCTGCCCCGACCTTCCCCTCGCTTTCCCCCTTGCCCCCGCCCGCTGCGCTGTCAGTGTGCGCCACTGGGCTGGGCGGGGGTAGGTGCGGAAGCACCCACACTCCCGGCATGGGAGGCTTGAGAGGGGAGGGGGACGATGGGGGGGGAAGGGAGGACGACGAGGGGGATAGCGAGGGGGGAGCGGAGGAGCCAGTGGGAAGGGCGGAGGGGGAGCGGGGGGTACAAGGGCGTGGCGCGGAGGCAGCGGGAAGGGGCGCGTGCGGCACGGCTTTGTCCCTCCCCGCTTGCCCCGCAGTGGGCGGAGGGACGGTGGGGCCATGGGCTGCTGCGCGGGGGCGAGGGGTGGGAGCGGGGGAGAGGGAGAGCGAGGGGGAGGCAGCATGCGGCCTGGAGGAAGAGGAGGACGCGAGCAGCGCGGAGCACTGCGAGTCACTGCACGCTCCCGCCGCCTGCTGCTGCCACGCGCCACTCGCTGCTGCGCTCGTCCCTGCCCGCTCCCCCCTACCCGTCCCGACAGACCCACACGCCGCCTTTGGCTCCGCCCCCACGCTCCCCGCGCTCTGCTCTGCCTGTGTCTGAGCGCCGTGCTGCTGCTGCTGGAGCAACGGCGTGCGCTGCTGGTGGAGGGCGAACATGGCGTGCCCCAGCGCCTGCTGCTGCTTCTGCTGCTCCGCCGCTGCCCTCGCCTGCATTACAGACCCCACGGTCGTGCTTCCCGTCCCTGCCATCCCTGTAGCCCCCGCCGTCCCTACCGCCCCTGCCGCCCCCGCTGTGCGTGCACGAGCCTCGGGCACGGCGCCTGTACCAGCGTGGGGTGAGGCCGCAGCTGCGGCGGCGCTAAGAGCACCGGCGGGTGGCGACGGCGTGGCGCGCACTGGGGGGCGCTGAGGCGGCGCGCAGGGGTGCGCGGGAGGCAGGAGGCGGGAAGGGAAGGCGGGCAGCAGCGGCTGCGAGGTAAGCGGGTAGTTGGGGAAGTGGGGGAGGCGGGGCAGATGCGCGGGGGGGAAGTAGCGGAAGAGATGCGTGGGCGCAGGGCAGGGAGGGATGGGGAGGGCGTGGGAGGGCGGGCGAGAGTAGAGGTAAGGCGCGGGCGAGGGAGTGGGAGCGGCGGAGGCAGCGCGAGCACTGGCGGGCTGGCTTGAGGCGAGGGGCAGGAGCGGCGCAGCGGACATGTGCGGGGCGAGGGGGGCGTGCGGGGCGAAGAAGGGCGGGCAGTAGTTGGGGAAGTGGTGCGGCAGCGAGGGGAAGGGCACGGCGTGCTGGCCGAGGGGCAGCTTCCTGGACGCCGTGGTGCGCTGCTCGCCCTCCCTCCTCCTGCGCGTTGCGGCTCTCCGCCTCGCCTGTGGTGGGCACATGGCACGGAGAACGGTTGAGTGAGGAGCAAGTGAGCGAGATTGGGTGACTGAGAGATAGAGTAAGTGAGAGAGAGAGAGTGAGGGAGGGGCGGCGACGTACCTGCGAGAGGCAGCGCGAGGAGCCACCAGGGCTTGAGCCGCCGGGCGCGCCAGTCTCTGCTGCCGCCCCGCTGCTCACGCTCGCAGCACGCGCGGCGCTGGAGCCACCCTCCCTCGACGGCGCGCCGTCCGCCGCTGCCGTGCGCGGGGCGCAGCTGTGGGCCTGGCAGCACAGCACGGAACACGGTGGGATACAGAACAGCAAGGGGTGGCAGTCAGTACTCGTACCCTCGGGGAGCGCCCCCCCTCAGCAGCCGGCATCCTGCTGTGCTGTGCGCTGTGCTAGCATGCGAGGCAGCAAGGTACCGTGACGGCGCGCGCGACACTCGCAGAATGGAAGCACCAACTGCACGCACCTGTGTGACACACGCGTGTGTCGCAGCAGCAGCCGCACCATTGCTCGAATACCCTGCTCTCGTTGCCCCCTCGCTGTCCGCGTCGGATACAACAGCGCCTTCCGCCTTCGCCCCTCCATCCCCCTCCGCCCTCTCCCCCCATCTTGCGTGGTCGCCCCCCTCCTCGTGCTCCGCCTCCAGCTCCTCCACCGCCCACACCTGCGCCGTCCGCCGCTCCTCCTCGCGGCAACGCTCGTCGGTGGCGCCGGCGGAGGGGAAGGCGCAGGCGGCATCGAGCAGCGCGGGCGCGGGCGGCAGCGGCACGGAGGGATCGGAGGCGGGGCCCCACCACGAGTGCAGGTCGGCGCGCGTGAGATGGGGGAGCGCGTCCGCGGAGGAGGGGGAGGGAGGGTCCGCGGAGGGGAGGGGAAGAAGGTCCGCGGAGGGAAAAGAAAGCGCGTCCGTGCCGTAGGCCGACCTGCGGGCAGCGCGAGGCAGACGGGAGGGTAAGGTCAGGTGGGACATGCGGACAAGAGAACGGATATTCCGGCAAGCAACTCTGACATCAGGAGCACAACGCATCAGTGCCACGTCAGTGCTGACCCACCTCATCAGCTCATCCACGTGGCTCGCGTGCTCGTGACCCCATGGCTCACTTGCCATGCCGTCCGCCATCGCGTCCGCGCAAGCCCCGCCTTGCCTGTCCGGGGAGCTTGGTAGCTCGGCGCGCGGGAAGGCGCAAGCGGCGCTATGGTCCGCGCGCGCATGAGGACTGTGTTTGCCCATGCCAACGCTATCCCCAGCGCCATTCACCCTCCCATCCCCCTGCTGCTCCCCCCATCCGTTCAAGCCACGCGCGTCCCCTTGTCCCTCGCAGCCTGCCAACTCGCGCGCCTCTCGCGGGCCGTCAACCAAGCGGCCGGACGACAGGTCCTTGCGGCCGCCGTCAGTTTCTCCAACCTCGACCTGTCGCAGTCTCGCAGCGTGCGACGCGTCGCAGCTGGCGTCAACGACACCCGCGGCGTCCCTGTGAGCGTGCGGCGCGGCGAGTTCGTCGTAGTCCTCGAATTGCTCCCACACCTGGTCGTCGAACTGCGCGCCATGCACGCCAGGGGACAACACGCACATACGCCGGTCAGCCATCGCTATCAGCCGAGCTCGAAACTTAAAGAATTGCAAGAAATATAAACCAGATGTAGTAGGTTCGAAAGGAGCATTTGAAAATGGAAGTTGGTTCATTTCTTTCACAAAAAGAGGTCGGAAAACAAATACTATGTTCCAGACCATCTCGTGCTGAAAGCCTGCAAATTTTAGAAGGTGGTAAGTCGAGCAAGAACGAAGAGGAGGAGATCTGGGGAGCAGAGCGATGTGAGGGGAGTTCACCATGGGCCAACTGTTGACCGCGCAGTCGCCATCCTCCATTTCCCATGCTGATGCCGACATCGCGGTCGAGCCGTCTCGGAATATTCACTACGTGTGATACGCAAAACTACGCTTAGAGCTTACGACCTGGATAAGACTAGGACTCAAATCGCATGGCTAAAAGAGTCTTGGACCAGAAACGCCAACTATTGCACCATGAATCTGTGGGAAAGGTTACTGTAGTAGCTAAGTCGATCGGACTGGAGGCAAGAGGTGAGCAGGTTGCACCATCCAACACTTGGCTTCCCTCGCTCCATTCCCATCCCAAGATTGGCTTCTGGAAGCTGACGATATGGAAGACAGGCTTCATGGGCTGCCCGACACAAGCCAGACTCAGAGCCGATAACAAATGCTGCAGGAAAGAGCACGAAATTGTTCCTATTCTGTGTGAAATGAACCCCCTCCCGGGTCACACAAATAAACCGTGTAACTCTCTGAATCGCCATTCTGACGACATCGTCAGATTTTTGCGACGTGCTGTCGTCGGCAGTTCTTTACCGAGAAAAAATCTTCCGACAGGCGGTCCTCAGCCGCAGGATGGATTCCCTCCAAAGCGAAGCTGCTCTGCTTTGTCGCTCGCTCGGTGCAGTCAGACTCGCCCGGATCCACCGCGTGCGACCAGAGCCACTCATAATTCCCAAAGGTGCTTTACGGAAAAAAAATCTCGAGAGCGGTCTTGATTTTTGGCCGTGGCTTGGTGTTTCCGGGCAGATGGGCATGTGTCCATGTCCGCAGCTGCCCATACAAGAGGCGGGTGCTGTTGGAGCTAATAAAGAAGCTTCAGTTGGGGCTCAAACATCATATTATTGTAACCAGCTGAGGAATAATCAATTGTACACATTTTGCATGCTCGACTGATTCCATCCAGCACTCAACCAAGCCAGAGAGAAATTGTCGACGCCAATTAAGGTATTACATCTTAAGAAAAAAAAAAACTCGAACACTACGGGACACTCTGATTCAGCATTCAAACTGATTTGATGAATCTGGTTCACGAATCACGAATCTCGCTGTGCTGTTGGCCATGTAGCAGCCCTACATCTTCTTTGATCACCTCGGTGCCATATTGATCAAACTGGTCTGTCCACGACTCCCCTTCTTCCTCCTCCACCTCCCCCTCACTTCCAGTGCCTTCCACGCCATCCACACCCTCCACGGCGTGCATGCCCAGGTCACTGCCAGCCTCGCTCTGCATGGCGGCCACCATCTGCGGTGTCACCTGCATCACACGAGGCCTCCCAGGGGGCGGGCTGCCCGTCCTCCCACCCGCGGTACAGCACCACCTTGGACGGCTCCTGCGACACAAACACCCCCCCAGTCGCCTCCTGCGCACGCCACACAGCACACGCCACCCCAGTCAGTGCCACAGACGCTCGAATCAAACACAAACAAGCAACAGCACACACCCGCGAGGCAGCAAGGGCGCAGCCAGCCATGCCCCCAGCGCCGTGACTCACCTCGAGCTGCTTGACGATCTCTTGTGCTGGCGTGCCCGCCGCCCGGCCTCGGATGCCCACCTTCACGAGCGCATGGCGTGTGAAGTGCAGGCGGATGGCCCTCGCCAGCCCCTCCACCACGTTGCTGCGCCCTGTGGCCATGCCAGCCAGGGGCACCATGCACAGAGACACACCATGCACGTGCAGGCATGCGAACGTCAAGGGCACCACGCACATGCAGGCACAGTTGCATGTGGATGGGATGCGACATATAACACAAAAAGGGGATGAGAGTGAGAGAGTGGATGGGATGCGACATATAACACAAAAGGGGGATGAGAGTGAGAGAGTGGAGGAAGAGAGGAAGACAGCAGGTGGATGATTGCAAGTGAGAGCGAGGGATGGGGACCCAAGGGGTGGGAGTGCAAGAGAGGGGCGGCAGGGGTGGTGGGTGCACTGACCAACTTGGAAGGCGGCAGTGGAGTCGAGGGTGAGGGCCCTGCGCCTGAGGTCGAGGCGCTGGGAGCGCGAGAGGGGAGGGGCCCTGAAGAGAGGGCCCACTAGCGCCCGCTCCCTCACCTCCTCCCTGCCCACACGCCGCGTCTCCCGCACTGCCTCCCTCTCCCGCTGCTGCCGCTGCCTCTCCTCCTCCTGCTCCTGCTGCTGCAGCTGCGGCTGCATGCTGGCAGCAATGAGTGCGTCAATCTCTGCTGCCTCCGCCTCTGCAGCAGGCGACAGTGGGGAAGGCCCGCCCACACCTGCCTCGCTGCCCTCCTCCCATGTGTCCCTCCCTGTGCTGCTGCTGCCGCTGGCGCTGCTGCCAGTGCTGGTGGCGGAGTCGAGAGAGAGAGGCGAAGAAGGGAGGGAGGCGCGGGAAAGAGGCGCTATCTCGCCAGGCTTCACCTGCACCCCTTTCTCTGCCTCTGCCTGCCCTCACAGAACCACCCATATACACAGGCACACACACAGCGTGGTGCGAACAGATGGAAAGGAGGTGACATCACAAAATTAGAAGAGGAGCAGACGAGCAGAGTAGCGGAGGCGAGCAGAAGGGCGGAAGAGTGGAGGGGAGCAGGAGGGAGGGAGAGTGAAGGGAGAAGAAGGGCGGGAGAGTGGAGGGGAGAAAATGCCGGGGGGGCACTGACCAGGCCTTGTGAGAGGCGGGAGATGGCGGTGTCGAGGTCCCTCATGTGTGCCTCCAGTGACTGCAGGGTGGGGCGGGGAGGGGGCACGGCGTGCAGTGCACAGCATGGATTGGCAGGGGATGATGTAGCTGTTACATGCAGAGCATGAGACACATAGGGGTGTAAGTCACAAGCGAACAGACCGACTGAAAGCATGAGGGTTTGTGAGGCAGACACAACACAATCTTGTCAACCACAGCCCACCCCCCCCACCGGCCCCCCACCGCCCCCACCGGCCCCCCACCACCCCCACCGCCCCCCCACCGCCCCCATCACCCCCCCATCGTCCCCACCTTCCCCATCAACCCACCACCCCCACCGCCCCCACCACGCCCTCCACCCTTTCCCCCCCCCCTCTCCCCCCCTCCGGCAGCTCACGGCGCGGCGCTGCTCCTCGGTGGCGCGTTTGAGCGCCTGGCGCTTGGTGAGCAGCCCCTTGGGGCGCAGCACGGAGGGGCGAGAGTAGTTCTTGCCGCGGTACACAATGATGGCGTGGTACTTCTTCACCGCCACCACGTCCACCAGCACGCCCCCACTCTCCACTGCCAGCATGCCCGCCACGTCCTCTGCGCGGCGGCGGTCGCGCTCCTTGCAGATGATCTTGACCAGCTCGCGGTGCTTCCAGTGCAGATGCATGTTCTCCACCAGCCCCGCAAACACGCCCCTCTTGCCTGCGCAACCCAGGGACGAGGGAGAGAGATGGGGGTGAGAAGGTGCAAGAATATGTTGGGTGGAAACGAGGGAAGAGACTAGGAGAAGCGCGCGTTGCAACTTGCAATTGTCAGCAATGGGTGTCATATGGCGGGGAGGAGAGGCAGGTGGGTGGGCGGCATGGCGTGGCACGGACCCATTTCAAGGTAGGCGCGCATCTTCTGGCCGAGCTTGCGGAACATGTGTCTCTCCTCCTCTGTGAGCGTCTCACTGTCCGCCGGCACCTCCACCGGCCGCAGCACCGCCTGCAGCTTCTCCAACTGCTCCTCCGCCCGCCCCTTCTTGCGCAGCGCCTGCTCACAGTTCCCAAAGAGGGCGGGGCACACGGGTGGTGGAGGGGGGAGGGCAGTTAGCATTTACTGCAGCAGAGGCACGGAGTAGCTGGGGCAATGGCAGGCAATAAGCTGCAGCTCTGGGGTTGATAGGAACAAAATAAGACACCAACAGCAATGAGTAATCGCAGCTGGGTAATCGCAGGCAGTAAACCGCAAGTTAGGGGTTGGTATGAAGGAAAGAAGACACTCTCAGCTTAAGATCTATCTGCCATCCCACCTGAGCCAGCTTCTGCTCTATCTGCCGTGCCAGTGCCAGCCGCCTGGAAGCCTCTATGGACTCTCGCCGCCGCCGCCGCTCCTCCTCCACCAACTGCCCCTCCACCTCCTCCTCCGCACTCTCTGCCCCCTGCGTGCCCTCCGTGTCTCCCTCTCCCTCAGTGCGCCTTGCGCTGCCAGCAGAGGCTGCAGAGTTATGGGCGCGCAGGGAAGGAGAATGACAAAGAAGCACACACAGGAGGGAGTGGGGGGATGGAGAATGCAGGCGGGCGTGGTGCCTATGATGCGCAGATGTCGTGAAAACGTGAACAGCCAGCAACAATCCCGACACTGGTCGCCACTGACCGCTGGCCATACCTCCCCATGCGCCCCCCTCGCCGTGTGCAGAGCCGGAGGGCGAGGGCAGAAGCAGCGAGGGCAGGGCGAGCAGGCGCTCCCTCTCCTCCTCGTCCGCACTCTGCCGCGCGTGGTGCTGCCGTGCTGCGAGGGTGGAGGCGAGGGCGGCGGGCAGGAAGTCCTTGCCGCGGTACAGCGAGATGAAGAACTTGTCGCGCGCCAATAGCACCCCCCCCGTCAGCCTCTGGGGGAGGGCGGGTGTGGGGGGAGGAGAGGGGGAAAGGCGGGGTTGAGACGAAGGCGGGGTTGAGACGAAGGTGTGGGGAGAGGAGACTGCCATGCCCCCAGCTCACCTTGAGCTCCTCCGCCATGCAGCTCACCTTCAGCTCCTCCGCCATGCAGCTCACCTTGAGCTCCTCCGCCATGCGCTCGTTGCTGGTGTTCTGCACGCCGCGCTTGACGCCAATCTTGGCCACCTCGCTGCACTCCCACAGCGCCACCAC